AAAAGACAGGTAAATTAGACTGAAAGGATTACTCTTTGAAAGAACCAGCACAGGCATGATGGGCTGAATAGCCGCCTTCTGTGGTGTCAATTTCTACAGTTCTATAGGACAGTGGATGAATATCACTTGCACCTCCGACAGTGTGGATCATCCCTAGTACTGAACTGCAATCTCAGGTTAGACTGTGAGGTGAAAGTCCCAACATGGGGTTTGAACCCACAAACTTCCGATCTGGAATCGAGAGTGCTCCTAACTGAGCCACACTGGCTCATTTTGTGTTATGCCTAATGCAGACTTCATCTGATTGGAAAAGGCAATATTGAAACTACCACCTTCCAGGTTTATATGAGTCACTCCAAGCAGTGACTTTTTAAAAAAAAAATATTATATGTATTTGGAAACCAATGAGGAAATGCAGTGCAACTTATAAGCATAATGTTCTGGGAAACATAAGTCATATATATACTTATTAGGTAGTGAGAGGTTTTTGTGGCCAGGTTGAGATATACCAGGGTTGCATGTGAATTTAGAATCGTAGACTAGTACAGCACAGATACAGGCCATTTGATCCATCATGCCATTTCTCATAGTTATTTAATTCCACTCTCTTGTTTGCTCTCCAATATTTGCTTCCTAATTATTCTTTAAAACCTATGGTCTCTGGCTTAACAATAGTTTATAACATAACATAATAACATAACATGTAGGAGCAGGAGAAGGCCATTCGTCCCTTCGAGCCCGCCCCGCCATTCAGTCATGGCTGATCTTCTAATCTAACTCCAGCTAATAACCTGACCCTGCCTTATCCCCATATCCCTTAATCCCTTTTGCAATAAGAAATCTATCTCTCAGTCTTGAGTTTGTGTCAGAATTCGCATTCTAACGACCTACCCGCTGTGAAAATAAATACTTTCTAACCTCCCTTTCTGTTAGTGTCTCGAGGCCCTCCTGATTGGCTGCCGTCAGCACCTTCACACCTCAGACGCCTACAGCATCACCATAAATTTTTTTGTTGTCTAAAACTGTGCCTCTCATTACTGATTCTCAGAATTGACATAATATCGTTTGTTGTCATAACCCTTCAGAATCTTGAAGACTTCTATCAGACCATCCCTTAATCTTTTCTGTATATCTCTGTTAGAACGTACAATACCATTTACATTAGCGTTACATATGAAGCATTACATTTGCCTTCATGGTCAAGGCCTTCCTTCTTCCCTTTGCCTGATCCATTGATTTACAACAGAAAATATGAATCAGGAAAACATTCTTGGGATCCATTTTTTTCTGAGAAAGGAATATAGATTTGAGCAAACATTCTTTTCAGATAAATATTCCCATTACCCAGACCCATGGGACTACTGGATTTGCCATTTCCCATTTGTATTGTGGTGCAAAAAATAGATACAAAGTTGTACTGTAGGACTCAAACTGACAACCTTTGACTCAGAGGTGGGAATGCCTGTACTATCAATAGAGGAGTATAATGAGAATACTTGCATATCACATCATCGAGATATCTCAAAGTGCTTCACAGGCTATAATAATAATAATATTCTTTGCATTTGATATAACTCCGTATCACGTCTGAGACATCTCAAAGTGCCACACTGAATATACTGTTAAGTGAATTGACTGTGTATTTTGGGGGCAAAATCCAGCAGCCAAGTTTGCATAGCAGTGTCCCACAAACAGTCATGGAATGAGTGACCAATATTATTTGGGGGATTGTTGGCCAGGACACCGGGAGAAACTCTCTTCTCTTTTCGAATAGTGCCTTGGGATCTTTAACATCCATCGATGGGACCTCGGTTTAACGTTTAATTCGAAGGATGGTACCTCCGAGAATGCAACTTCCCGCCACCCCCACACCCCCTAGCACTGGAGTGTCAGTCCTGACCCCAGGCTTGAACCCACATCCTTGACTCAGAGGCGAGAATGCTACCACTGCTTCAGGCTGACACAGAAAGAGAAATGAGAACCTCTTCAGAAATACTGTGCACTTTACCCCAGTGTTTTTTTAAAAAAAGACAACCAAAGAAATTTTCAGCACAGAAGGAAGCCGTTTGGCCCTTTGTGCCTGTGCTGGCTCTATGAAAGAACCATTTGAGGATTCTGCTCCCCATACGAGAAATAATGCTATATAAAAGGCAGCATTGTAAGAAGTCACTGATCAACAGTTCGGGGGTCTTATAACCCCATTCCCCCAGCAATTGGCTTGTGGAACAATTGCACTGGAGTTCCCACCATTTCATGATGCTATAAGGATATTTTGGGATGGTATTTCAGCATGGCATTTAATTTTACCACAGTACTTCCAGATTTATAATAAATTATAATGCTGGCATTTTATATAGCACTTTACATGCTGGGAGGACGTCTCAAGGTGCTTTTCAGAATTTCCTGTAAAGTGTAGCAATTATTTTATAGTCGAATGCCTATATTTTAAACTGCTCAGGGTTTTACGAGAATTACCATTTATAGTTTTGTTTCTAATCGTATGATTTATAATTCTATTACCCACAAAGATCTTTTGATAAACTGTTAACACTTGTAAAATTGCTAGCGATTTGAATTTCCTAGAATAGGCATTCGAAAACCTGGTTGATTTTCTAAAATATTAATTTCCACAACAATATTCTTGCTTGATCTGCACTGCCTGCCCGTGGTTTCGTTTTCTGGCCTAGAGAACACAGAATCGTTGTCTGGGGAGAACAGAAATACAAAATATAAAAATAAATTACAAAATCCTTCAGCTTCTCAAGGGCCACTCAACATACGCCCCCATTTCCTTTACAATGGCCTTGGGGTTCGTCATGCAGCAGTAAATAAAGGAAGTGACACCACTGCCTGCAAAGGGTCTGAGGCCTACCTATAGAGGCACCCATTTTATTTATCTTCTAGCAGACTGAGTCCTTTGTGTGAATACCTTTCCCAGACACAATGACCAGAAACAAGTTGCGAATCATGGCAGGCGAAGGATCCCATGTGTGCGCAGTTTTCCAACCATTGCGTAAACTGATCCACAATGTAAATGCATCAGTCTCTCAGAATGTGGACCCTAGAGCAGTTTGCAGAATTGCTTCTTGACCATTGGTACTTATAGTATTCAGAATAGTCCTGAAAGCTTTTGGCAAAGGAGGTTAAGCTGTGTTTATGTTGTAAGTTTAGATGCTTCAGTAAAATGCCAGCCGTTTTGGTTAGGTTCAGCTGGTTTACATTGTTGAGTGAATTTAACAAAGCCAGTGGCCCACATAGTTGTTTCAAGGTCCTGCTTGTAATTTTGGTCATCATAGCCATGCTCTGTTGTGCGGGGAAGATCAATATAGGGTGACTATAAAACTCTTATCACTTTTTAACAACAGACTGCTGAATATAGAGGTTTCATTTACACTGTTTACAGTAAACAAACCATTTCCCATGTAGGTGTTAAAAGTTCCTACCACTGTGTTTTACGTATTCAGTATGTCTGGTTTCAGTAGAATATCAATTTCACTGTGCCTTTTTTTGTTAAAATGGTGTGAAGGTTGTCTAAAAGAAGTAAAATGAGGTGATCAGAACACACAGACACACACACATTTTGCTGGAAGAGAGAAAAGAGTCTGTCTGTGAAAAATATTTGATCTGCGACATTCTGAAACTTTGTTCTGAACAACTAGTAAACTTTGTATAATACCTTTTTTTAAAAATTAATTTTGTGCCTTTTGTTTCTTTACACTCTGGTCTGTAAATGCTACTTTCGTAATTTATTTCTGTAGAGTTAAAGAATTAGAATTCAAAAACATTACCCTGAGTGATCATTCATAATTCACCTCATAAAGATTTTCTGATGTCCAATCCTGGTAGGCTGATCTTATCATATACCTTTACCAGCTCAAGAGAAGTTTGTGTGCAGCTGGTAGAGATAGTCACCTTAAGAAGTGTGTGGTTACTGATGTCATTCCAAAACCAGACACCAAAAAATCGATTGAGCTCTTTCTCCTTTTTGGACTATACGACGTGTGGTTTTCTGAACCAGAACCTGCAATAAAGGCGAGGAATTATATTCGCAAACATCACAAATTAGACCCCATATTAATGAATTACGTAAAGAGGACATGCACCAGACGGTTTGCTGGATCTTCTATAAATAAGTCAAATACATTTTGGTACATTTTGCAATTTGCAAGAAATGCTAATTTCTTCAGGCTTTATTTTTTTCAAAAGAATGTTTTTCAAAAGAATCACCTGTTTTTTTCTAGTATATCTTATTGGATCAAATATCTGTTTGATCTTCTAATATTGTATTTTATAAAAAAAATCCAAGTATTGCAGAGCACAGTAATGAGCCGAGAGGGAGTTTATTGCCTTGAGAAAGAGCTGGGAATCCATTGGAATCAATATGTTTACTCCTGTGTGGTAATGAGTTGCAATAAATTGAGGATTTTTTTTGCCTGTATGCCCCTTTTTTTTTATTCGATAATTATTGGTATTTACATTTAAACATTATATCCAATTTCCTGTGCCACTTCCAGGTCTACATACCATTTTAGAGATGTGGGATTATCTCTTTCTTCTTCCTTCTTCTCTCATTACCCAAATCCAACAATTGACACTACTGTATTACTTTTGGAGGTTTGCATTCTTTGACGTTGCTGACAGTTCCTTTGTTCATATTCTGTTGAAACAATGTTTTGCTGTGTCATATGTATCTGTATTTGCCATAGTGTAATGGACTCCAGAAGGTACAGGTATTGTACTTGACTTATAATAATAATAATCCTTGCATTTGATTATTATAAGTTGAGTACAGTACCTGTACATTACCCTATGACACATACAGAAATATACTGACATGATGAAACGTATCAAGTTATCAATAGATATGGAATTGTAGTAGTTTTATAATTTTTCTTTGATTTTAAAAATACAATAATTGTGTTATTGGCTGGTGGGATGGGCATCTGGGATTTTGCGGTGGATAGCAATACCTTCTAACAGAGATTCATTCTTTCTTACAGGCGGAATCTTACAAAGCTGTCACTCATCTTTAGTCACATGCTGGCAGAAATCAAGGCCATCTTCCCCTCTGGCCAGTTTCAGGGGGACAACTTTCGCATCACAAAGGCTGACGCTGCTGAATTTTGGAAACGAGCTTTTGACGACAAGTGAGTGCATCCTTGAAAGCTTTTATTTTTCCTCTCGCCATAGGGTGCGGACTGGTAACTTGAATATGAACAATTAAGGTATAGGATGATACATAGAAACAGGAGGAGGCTGTACAGCCCCTCCGCCCTATTTTATACGATCGTGGTTGATCTAAACCTCAAGTCCAGTAACCTGTGCTTGCACCATACCCCTTAATACCCTGACCCAACAAATATTTATCTATGATTAAGTACAGAAGGTTTCTCTTGAAGGTTTCTCTTCCTTAAATGTTCTGCAGAATTTTATTCAGCCTGGTGCTGCCTTGCTAATTGTACAACACTGCATCCCCGAGCTTCCATGTCCATAATTGTCAGAAAATTATGATTCACAATCTCACCGTTAGCCCTTCTCCAGTGCCGATCGTGACTTTCCTCAGTCAGCAAGCAGAAAAGTTTTTGGCTTCACGCAAAGAAAAGATGGTGGCCTCTGGTTCCTTTAGCATTAGAGATGTAGCATTGGTTTTAAATTTACATGTTCATAATGCATTCATTAGGGTTGTGCCAAAGATGAACCCTCGTCTGACTTATTTCTTGTTGCTGACATCTGCAAAGCCAGGTCACACATTTAACTTCCAGCTTTACAGCTATAGCAAGAGGACCCGAGTTCGATTCCTGGCCGGGGTGAAACTTTAGGCAAGTTTACCTAGCAGTAAGTAGCAACTCGGTTGTTAGTCGATTTGTTTGTAAAAAAAATTAGTCATTCAATCCATGACTGCTTGTAGGACGTTGCTGTGTGCAAATGGCTACCATGTTTAGCCCACAAAATACCTAGTCAATCCACTTAGCAATATATTCTGTGAAGTGCTTTGAGACATATCAATAACGTGATAAGGCATGATATCAAATGCAAGGATTATTATTACTGGTTAGAGTTTTACGAAAGAGAGAAAACTCGAGGTTATCCTGCTAACCACATGGATCATGTGTTTTTCTATAGTCCTGTACATTTCTGTGTTCCTACAGTGCACATGAGCGAATCTGTAACTATTTGAAAGGGTTAAAGCAATCTTTCCATATTGTCATGTACTTACAGTGGCATAAGCCTTGCTATCATGACCCATTATGCTTTGAGCTTCTGGTGGCATCTGACTAATGGCTGAATTAAATGTTCTTTAATTTGGATTTCTATAGGAAAAAGGTTTTAATTTGTTCAGCCTTTAAAGCAAAATCTTTTGGGGTAGTGTTAAGAGGAAGAAAAAAAGTCCTTGTGTGGTAATTTATCTTGCTTCCTTATTCAGTGCATCTAACTGGTTCAAAATTATGGTTATCAACCCAGCAAATCCAGTTGGTAAATATTGCAAAATAAATTCCATGGTATTTAAAAATAAAACGATTTCCTCCGATGTTTGTGCTTTATCCAGTTCTGAAGCTTTTTCTGGGGTGGAGGAAGAGCAATTGGACTTTTTGAGGTTGAAATCAAATCTCATGCCCTTTCCTACCAGTAGAATATCTCAAAACAAGATTTAAGTTATACTGTTGGTTTAATTAGCACAACACAAGGCAGTCTGTGTTCATGGTCAAAAGCAGGATTAGATTGAGGCTGAAGCTGAAGACAATTCAACGCTGTTCAGTTTTAACTATTGGGACTATTAGGTTAAAATGTGATGCGTATTATCTCATCAAATGACTTGTTTAAAATAAGTGGGGTTTAGTAGAGGACATTATATTCTGAAGTACATAATTTGTTCTAATATTTTCAATTCACATTACCAGATTGGTTCTCCAGCATAATTTTATTTTCTAACAGCTGAGTGCAGCAAGTTTCATTTGAGAAACCAATGGTTAATGTACTGTCAGGCATTGGTGGAGTTGTAAAAAAAAAAGGTGTATAATAGTGGTATTATTGGGTGCTTTCTTTAAATAAATCTATATACTTTCACAAAGCTGTTATTTTGAGATCACTGCACAATTAGCTCAATTCTGCAGTAGATCACTACTGCAGAATTGAGCTAATTGTTGAAGAGAAGACCTCTGAATAGTTAGTCTGAATAGTCCCATAGAAATGCAGAAGCAGATGAAAATTGCTTTAAAAGCAGTTTAAATGTAGCAAACTTTCAAAAGCCTGCTGCTTCTTTGAAAACACGATGCAAACTAAATTACTCTTGTTTAAAATTCTCAACCTCTCCCTCACCAACCTTTCTGGGACTTCTTTGCAGAACTGACTGTTTCTGACTGATAATACTAAGGATCTCCCATGGCTACATTCATTCCAGTCCCCAGTTTTGTCCACAAAATACAGTCAATTCACTTTACAGTATATTTTCTGAAGCGCGTTGAGACTTCTTGAAGAAGTGATACCTTGTTTAAAGAAGTGTTAAAGGTTCATCCACACAAGGGAAGAAGGTATTGCAATGTTTGAATGAAAGTAGCTTAGAGCAATTGTGTTTAGCATCCAATCCTTTTGTATCCACCTTATTTCCACCTGTCAAGAAAAAACTTATTCTAACCTATGGATGTTTGAGGTCTTCTCTTCAACAATTTTTTTGAATCATAAGTCCAGTTTTTGTGATGGGAGAATGGATAAAACTTCTTCGATTTCTGACCTTCAAAATGTGGAGTGCTCTTCACTTTACAACAACTTCAGTTTCAGGCAAGCTCCTGTAAATTCAATTTTTTTTACTTAGAGACTATGGTTATGACTCATCACACTCCATTTTTGCATCCGTCTGGATCAAATAAATTCCATAGACTACTTTATGAATCATTTCACTTTTGTTTCATTGCTATCAGTTGGAACCTTCTTTTATTTTCTCAGATTGACTTTTCCGCAGACGATGTTTTCTGTTGGGTGCCTTTCAATTGCTCGTCAGTTGAGAATGATGACATTTAGAAAAGTGTTTGTCTCTGTGGACTCCCAAGTATACATCAACCATTAATAGGCTTAATTATTTACACTTACTGCAGTTGGTATATCATGAACAATTACCAGAGAATCAAGCATATTCAGTGTAGCTAAAAAGTTGTCGCAGTGGATACTTGGTGGCTTAAACATTTGTCTTCCTGGAAAAGTTCCATCATTCCAGCATAGTGGGTTGGTGGACTCAGGGCCTGTATGATGAACTGGAGATTTATTCAACTCGGATACTTTACCACAAAAAGTTATCTGTCCAGCTTTTAAACATGGTTCATTCAGGTGTATCAAAGTGAGGCTCTCTCCAGTTTGCATTGCCAAGTCAACGTTGAAGTATTTTTCTATTTGTGCTATGCAATAGATTATCAAAAAAATATAGTTAAGTCCAAGGATGAGATGTTAAACCGAGGTTCCACTGACCTGTTCAAATGGACGTTAAAGATCCAATGGCACTAATTGAAAAGAAATGAGTGCTTCTCTTGGTGTCCTGACCAACACTCCCCTCAAATAAAACTGGTATTATTATGATGACAGGGGTTTATACTGGTGTCAAACGTAGTGATTTGTACATGGGGGTATGTCATAGTGTAAGAAAGCTGAAGGCTTTATTCTCTCCCTTCAGGTACCATGTCATATCTTCTCCATTCCTTGAGTAATTTTAATTGCCGCTTACTTTTTATCACATTGCCTTAACTGCATTAAGTGAATTCACTAGAAAGAAAAACTTATGAATCAAAGTTTAATGTAGTTATTCACCCTTGGGATTCTGCTGATCCTTGTAAACTGTTCCAGTTTTTGTCATGCAGTTTCTGACGTCAGGACTCCTGGACTGAACTCATTTTAACTCACAAACTTGGATTATTCAAGTGTTGCTTTGATACACTACAGCACCAATCAACTGAGGATGGAATGGTCATTTTGAAGGAAGAGACAATGTGCTCCTCCGCTGCATTATCTTAATTTATTACTTTTCAATGGTGGTACATGTGGGTCAGCATAGTCGAGAGATTTCCTAAACTTTCAATCTGCCTGCTCTCTTGCATCCTCTGATACAATATAGATGGAGTCCACTCGTATATGATTTTTGTTACTGTTTAATCTGTTCCTTGCAGGGTTTAAAAATATTTTGATTCATGTACTAAAGGAACTATGCACCTTACCAGAAGTATTGAGGAGATATCCTCACAAGTACTCTAAATTCAGAAAGTCTCACCAACGACAATTTTTTTTACACATTTGTATAGCGCCTAATAATAATCCCTCCAAAACCAAAAACAATAATAAATTGGTCATTTTCAATCTACGACTGTTTGTGGGACATTGCTGTGCGCAATTGGCTGCTGCGTTCGCCCACAAATATACAGTCAATTCACTTTACGGTGTGTTCTGTGAAGCGCTTTGGGACGTCCTCCCGACGTGAAAAGCGCTATATCAAATGCAAGGACTATTATTATTATTATTCATGTCAGCAGGATGACCCAAAACGCTGAGTTTAAAAGCTTTTGTAGAATGACACTGAAAAATGCAAACATTTATTGCCTACATTTTACGTCTTGGCTGAGTTACCATTGCCTCTCAATTAATTATTGGGCACAGTTTCATATAGTAAAGAACACAAATGCAGTTCATCTCATGAGATCAAACCATGTTCCTGTCATATCGGTAAGATGATGGTTGCGTTTCCACATTTGCAGTTGTGCAAATATACACTTTGCAAATTGATTTCATTGTGCTTCCTGTACGTAAACATGAGCCCCCTGGGAGAGACTGTTTTTCTCCACTTGTTAACACAATGGAATCTGCCTATTTAGAGCAGGGAACATGACTCACATCTCCATTTGTGGTTTTGACTCATCAAAGGCTTGCTATTTTCAAAGCAGCAGCATTTTAATCTAGTTGAGGTTGCTGTACATTACTGTCCTGGGGTGAGCATGTAACACAAGGAGCTCCTCGGCTGTATTATCCTAATTTATTGCTTTTCAAAGGTGGATCTTGTAGATCAGCATAGTTGAGAGAGTTGTTAAACTTTCGGAAATTTTTTGACAAATTTGGCATTTCACTGAATTCCAATCTTCTGAAAACATGCACGTATAACAAGTCACTATAATTTCATGATATTGAGAAGATAAAATAGCAATGCCACCATATGATCTGCTTGTATGATTAATTTTTCCAACAGTCTACCCAGTGCAGATGGCACAAGAAATGTTGTTTTCAAAATTCACTCTAACTTTAATAAGATATGCAATATAAATAGAATTCCCACGGGGAGGGGTAGTTTATAAACCCAAATCTTTAAGTGGGAAATAAAAACAGAAATCGCTGGAAACACACAGGTACTTCAGAATATTTCAGATCATTGGCCTGAAACGTTAACTCACTTTTCTCTCTCCATAGATGCTGCTTGACCTGCTGAGTGTTCCCAATAACTTATTTTTATTTCAGATTTCCAGCATCTGCAGTCGTTTAAGTGGGATGTGGTTCTTAAAATAACTCCTCCCTGCTAGTTTTCCACCATGTTAACTGTGTATTTACTCAATTTAGTCACCTTTATGTTGACACTAAAAGCAAAAATGTACCCAGTCTAAGAACCATGTAAGACGTGATAATGAATAGTACACAATCGCAATTTAAATTTAAAATGTAATCTTACAAATATTTACAATAATAGAAATCTGTTGTTTGCTCGAACAGGAACTAGTTAAAGGGCAGCTCAGTATTTCAAAATCCATTGTTCAGTTCGCTTATTTTTCCTCCCTCTCTCTGGTCCCACTAGAGTTCTTGATTGTAAATACTGTATGTTGAAGAAGATGATTCACAGGAAGATTTAGAATTCAGAACATTTAGAACTGATCATTTGCTCCGTATTAATCTGCAAGTGCAATATCTTTCTGGAATCCAGTCATTCAGTGTTCCAACTATATTCAAAGCTGTAACCTTTTCATTGTCACCATGAACCAGGAAAGACGTCAAGTTTTTGTACGTTTCTTTTGATGTGGTATCTCTGCATAATACTAAGTGGTTTCCTGTTTATCACACATTTAGCACAATATAGTGCTCAAGATCTTTGGTTAGCACAGTCTAGTGCTGAAGACATTCTGGTATCTCCTGTATTTTTTGTGTTTTTTTCCTTCTTGGAAGTGTGATCCCAAGGGGGTTCTTCTTGGAGCTGAACTGGCTCCAAGGTGATTGTCTGGCAATGGAATGTCGGAATCGAACAAGCCCTCTGTGCCGGTCTTGGTAGTCCGATTCCTGAGCCAGGCAGGTCCACAGTATTCCAGAGCACAGCTGATAACAGCACAGCCTGGCCTGGAAGGGCAGACCAGTCACTGGAAGCAGGCAGTTAACCCACTCGGCTCCTGTTAACCCTGCAAGCCAAAGCCCTAACGGGTAGGTTGGTCTTAGCTGGCCAAGCAGCGGGAAAGCTTGCTGGATGGCAAAACCAATGGCAGGCAATGCGGTTTTAGCTGGTTATCCTCCAGCAGTACCCTAATGCACACTCTGGGGTCCCCAAGCCTTGGCTCTTGTCAACTTAATACTTGCACCTAATACTTTCCGGAATTAGGTAAGTAGGCTGCATCCCTCCAAGGAGAGAGCGCACATTTCATTCCAGCAATCTGTCTCTGGGATTTCCATGGGTAGGTGGGATGCATGGAAATCTCAGCTTGGTTTGGATACTCTTTCGCCATTACTTGTTCATAATGTTATTTAGTGCTGATTGGTAGCTTCAATTTAGCAAACCTCAGGAAGCATTGTTACTCTTGCGGGATGTTTCAGGTTATTTGCTCGTCAGGACATTTAACACCCAATGACTACATTAAAGGGGTTTATGACTAATTGGGGGGGAAATTGCCCCCTTCATTGAATACAATGGGATATTTTTGGATAATACACCAGTAATCTACCTTGAAAAATTCAGCAACAGAAGCTATTTGATAACATTTATGCAATGTAATTTAGCCTTTTTTGGATATACATTTCTCCTTTTGAAAAGTGAGAGAATGTTGCATTGACCCTGAGACTCCCAACATACTTTGTGCTTTGTGTTACTTAAGTTAAACATTATGAGCAAATCTGCAACATTATACATAATGGTTTTGTAGACAATAGAGTGGTCGCATTTGTGGTTTGTGGTTTGATGAGAAACAATAGTCAATAGTGTAGATTTCAGTGGGACATTCTAATGTCTCACACCAGGAACCAGAGCGCTTGAAAACCTTGTTGTTGTTGTTTTCCCCATGGTTTTACAATGAGTGTCTGGTTTAAACAGCTGTTTAATTGCACTAATGAATCCCATCACTTCAAATGAAATTTGATGAAAATTGAGCAGCATTTGGTTAATTGGCATAATAACTACTATGACAATATTGCTGCAATCAGGTTTCCTTGAGTACTGCGGAAGAAGAGGAACTTTATTGAATGTGTTTCCTCCCTTTAGTGGAAGTGCAGGGAGCAGTACGCCTGATATAATTAGCACTTTGCATGATTTCTATTTGGGGATTTTGCTGACAAAGTAGACCTTTCAATGCTTACTTTCATGTCCTTGTGCTTTTTATAATTACCTGTGGTTTTGCCATCATTCACAATTGTCCAATAATAGTCAACCTGGGAAGGAATACTTGTGATTTACAAGCTGACTATTTACCACAAGCGGATTTAAAATGAGAATTTAGAAGGACCTTCTTTACACAGATGGCGATGCGAATGTTGAACTCACTACTGGAAGCTGTATTTGAAGTACAAAACATCAACATGTTTAAGAGAAAGCTTGATGTATACATGAGGAGAAGGGAATAGAAGAAGGGATAGAGGGGTGGAGGCTTGTGTGGAGGATGCATGCACAGATAAGTTTGGCTGTATGGCATGTTCTTGTGCTATAATATTCTAGTTGGTATAATTATCTATTTGCCCCTTGTATTTTATTCAAAGCATTTCAAGGGTTCCATGGTTTGTTGTGTGCATGATATTCTTTTGATCAAATGACCTGTATCGAAAGTGACATACAGACAAAAGCAGTTTTGGTTCGGGGTAAATTCTGTTGTTGTAAAATCCTACTTATAACTGATATAAATGACAGAATAAAGACTGGGTGGATGTTGAATTAGTAACAATAAACCTAAAAGGATGCTGGCTTCATTTTGTTCTATGTATAATTCATTCATTATATGTGTACTGCCAAAATCTAGGATCCTCTTTGATGGCCAATGTGGGTTATTTATATATGATATTTTCATTATTTTCAGGACTATAGTTCCGTGGAAAGTGTTCAGACAGTGCCTTCATGAAGTCCACCCTATCAGCTCTGGTTTGGAAGCCATGGCGCTCAAGTCTACAATAGATCTAACCTGTAATGATTACATTTCAATCTTTGAATTTGATATCTTCACTAGACTCTTCCAGGTAAGTGGGCCACTAATGAAATTGCTCTTTATAAAACTAAAGCAATTGCCGCACGCTATTAGAATAATTTTCCAACTGTTGTATCAATAATATTAGTGCTTACAAATCATGAATATCATTCAGTTTTATTACCTAACATGAATACTGTCTCAAAGGATTTCAGAATTATTCTCTTGGGCTGCCCTTTAAAAATAAACAGATGTGTCTGATTATCGTACGGTTCCTTTGGTGATTTGGTTGTAGCAGGAGTCAGTCAAACCCATTTTAGTAGCTCATCCTTCGAATGAGATGTTAAACCAAGGCCCGGATTGCGAATTCGGGGTACACTAAAGATACTCTGGCACAATTTGAAAATAGAAGGGAGTTTCTCCCGGTGTTCTGACTAACAATCCTCCAGATAAATTAGCCGTTCACTTTATGGCTGTCTATGGGACTTTGCTGTATGCCAGTTGTGTTCACCTACAAAATACAGTCACTCCCACAAGAAAAATAACTTCCTTTATGGAGTACCTATCATGTAGAATAATGTCGCAGAGTGCTTTACAGCGGGACGGACGCTGAGAAGGGGTAACTGAAAGTGACTATGGGTGTGGTCAAAGACCTAGATTTTATTTGGGACTTGAAAATGCGCAAGATGAGTGGTTAGTGGAGGAAGTTGCAAAGGTTAACGGAACAGAATTCGAAAGCTCAGCCACCGATGGTGTCATGGTTAGGGCAGAGATGCGCAGCAAACCCAAGTGGAGGGGACAAGTAGAGAAGTGTTGTTGGAGGTAATCGGAGCGCTAGTTTTAGCCCACATATATACGGTCAACTCACTTTACAGCATATTCTGTGAAGCGCTTTGAGATATCGAGAAGATGTGAAAAGCGCTATATCAAATTCAAGGATTATTATTATAGTGAGTTGCATGGGCTATACTACTATAATGTGTGTAATACTATCCTTTTTCTTCAATAACATTTAATGCCTATACTCCCTCCACCTCAAGTGTATATCTCCTATTGAATACCTCAAAATGGCTTCAGAAATGTTCTCAAAACATTATATTTTTTATAGGAATTTATGGCTTCAGACACTGCAATCCATTTCTCACAGTTATTCGTGTGAAGAAGTGCTTTTGAGTTCACTTTTAACTGTCTTAACTCTTAATTATAAGATTATTTCCATTTGTTCTAACAGAACATATTTGTCAAAATTCTGATGGATGTGATGTATTTTCTAATTCTTTCAATGCCTTAAAATACCTCAATGATTAATAGTGCTTTAACGCTTATTCTTTATCCTTATTGGGTAAAACACATTTGTCCAATGCAGTATTTGATGTGTGTGTATATATAGATTGATATTAACTTTGTCTTTACATATTGCTTCTAATGGGGACTGGCCAATGGTCACTTTATAATGTATATTGCCAGCAAGGCCGAAAACAAATGAAGAAAAAAATTCTGGAAGATGTGCCAGACTCGGTTTCAAGAGCTCAAACTTTTTATTTCTTTAAGCATGTAGCGTAGTAAAAATGAAAGCATGCAGATAGCTTATTCTCTTGAACAGCACAAATGGTTTTAGGCCCAATGCAGTAGAAGCCTATTTTAGCGTGAGTTTACTTATTCAGTAGTGTCATTTATTTAACAAACAATCTAAATACAGGCAGAAGTTTGGCAACTTTCAAACGCCAGCTGGTGCCTCACGTGACATTTTTATATTNAAAAAAAGGCCCTCTTCCAGGTTATCAGATTGCCACCAACGTCTTCTCTGCATGATGTGTGACCTGATGACCCAGAAGTCAGCCTTTTTTGGTCAGAACTGCAGAACTGACTGGTGAACGTGCCTTGTTATTGCACTGGTTGTGAGTTTATGGATCCCAATCACACATTATAATGGGGAGCTACTGTATGTGGTTCTCTGATTGTAAAATGTATACATTGTAATGTTGTGTACTTGAATGCTCTTCAGTGTTATTTAACATGTAATCAAGCAGCAATACCAGCAGAGTGTGATGCCTCAGTGTATTGAAGCTGTACTTCAGATAGAAGAATCTGATTATTTCAGAAATGTAAATCAAGTGGTGTTTCCCTGGGGCTGGGTGGGGGGGCAGAAGAGTAAGCTTTAGTAAGCACTATATTAGTGCGAGTTGTTGTTGTAAAGGAGTGGGCAGGAATGTGGTACGGTGAAAGAAAATTGCCTATATCAATAGGGTAATATTAAGCACAATTAATTTGAATGTACAACTCATTTGCTCATCCTATAACTAAATAATTCCTGAAAGAGGCTAATCACTTCCGACTGGCTGATGTGTCCTGACACATCAGCCTAACTAGTCCTGATGTGAAATATGATGGCAAACCTGGTATACTGATTAGATTAAGGAGAAAAGCGGAATTATGTTTTTGGTCTGTATCAAAGGCAGACGTACTGGCTCCTTTTGAATTTGTAGATAACTCCAATAGAAAGCTAACACTGAGTGGGGTAGATGGACTCATTTTGTCCTGAAATGTTGCTGATGCATCTCCGAAATTACATTATTACAAAATCCAGAGGGAAGGTTTCCCTTCTCCTTTTACATTTGTCATTTTCATCCTTGTTTAAGTTGTCTTACACAAAAATGTCTTAAGAATTAGAGGGCATTGAATATTGAGTGCAATTTACGTGAAGCAGAAGCTCATAGCTTTGGTGCTTTTGTTTGTTACTTCTCAATGATCGCAGTTATTTTGCCTTGTATATTTTGGTGAATTGGTGAAAAGCAAATTATTTTTTTCTTTTTGTCAGCCCTGGACATCAATCTTAAGGAACTGGAACTTCTTGGCTGTGACTCATCCTGGCTATATGGCTTTTCTTACGTACGATGAGGTGAAGGCCCGGCTCCAAAAATACATCAACAAACCTGGCAGGTAGGGGGTGAACCAAATGCTATGTGAAACCATGCAATCACTTAGGATTTATCTTTTGTGTCGGGGGAGTGTAGTAAATAATGCTTGTATTTGATTTTGTGTATTATTACCAAAAAACACTGCAAATTTCTTCCTACAGTGTTACTTCCAGTTCTAGTGACTATTATTAAAGTTGCATTTTTCTGATTGTTCTGGTTTTAATCTTCATCTAGCTCTATATACTGTATCTGTAACAGTGCAACAACTTTGTTATAGAATTGGTGCCTGGAACAGATTTTACATAGATAGCTTAAGAAAAATGAAATGATGGTACCAAACATTATTCATCCTGCTCTTTTTGAATCTATTTTATTAAGTTACTGCCAAAAAAACAAACTATGACGTGAGGCTAATCAAACTGATGCAGAGACCATCAGGAATAGTTAACGTGGGTTTAAAAACCATATGTTATCCCTCTGCTGAAATTCTTGTTGAAGCAATAAGGAATAGTCAGCTTGCTTTAGTAGCAGCAGCTTTGAGGTGAAAATTTTGGTTGCTGGAGACAATCTAATAGATGCAGTCCACTTGGATTTTTAGAAATCATTTGGTATGAGCCACATTCGAGAAGGTTGAATGAGACTCTGCTGACCACTGTGAAATTGTTCTTTCACTTCATGACTGTTTGTAGCACATTGCAGTGAACAAATTGGCTGTTGCATTTGCCCACAAAATACAGCCACTCTTCACAGTGCAAATCCTCTGAAGCTCTTTGAGGACGTGATAATCTGCTACATCAGAAACAAAATGATTATAAATAACCAAATTATGGAGCATATTAATTCTACTGAATATTAAAACCAGAATAATAGACATATTAGCTTGGCTGGATTCTGAAATGNTTTTTTTCTTGGCTCCGGCTTTCAGTTCAAATTCCCTGTTGACTTGTTGCATTAGAATTCTGTGTTTTAGATCAGATGTATTCATCTGAAGTTCCCAGTATTGTGCCATATGTTGTCATGTTAGCTTCATATTTCATCTGTTCCATAATTAGAAAGGTTTGTTATATTTCTCAGTTTCATGCTTGCTCTGTGCACCCGACTGTTTGTTTTTATACCATATGTTCTGTTTAATTTGCCTTCAATTATTGGCCAGCTCCTGAATAGAAGCCAGGCTAAATAATAAGTATTAGAACTGGCAAAGCTACTTTGCTAAAGGCTGGAATTTATTAGTTTTAATTGCAGCAGTTATGTCTGACAAAGTAAACAGACTATTAAACCAGCATCAGTTCTTTGTGTATGGATGGAGTAATCTAAAAGCCCCAGGCCTCTGCATATTATTTGCCTTAAAGCAAATCTTTGCCATCGTCCTGCTGTGCTCACACTCCAGTTGTTTGGTTGTATTTGGTTTTAAATGACTCTTAGCATTCACATTTAGATGCCAGCAGGGTTGATCTCTTGATTGTGTGGTTGTAAGTCAATTGGCGGATCGCTTTTCCGGGCGAGGGTAATAATTCCTTCAAAAAATATAATAATAATTTTGTCACTTCAATCCATGACTTTGTGGAACGTTGCTGTGCGCAATTGGCTGTCACGTTTCTCCCACAAAACACAGTGTCACTACATCTTACAGTGTATCCTGTGAAACGCTTTGAGACATCTCAAAGACGCGATAAGGCGCTGTGTGAAATGCAAAGGATTTTTGTTATTGTAGATCACTTGAGATAATTTTTCTGATAAAGCAAACTCTTCAGCTCAACGTGGTTGATGGTGCATTGCATTTTGTTCATAGAACTAAGAGCAGTACTCAAGTGGAGGCACTGACAACGGAGATTGAGGAGAAGGTCTACACTGATCTTCCAGTTCCGACCTTGCCTCATGTGTCAACATGTGTGGAAACATCATACAGTAGATTCCTGTTATAATGTGGTAGATGAATCTATAAACTCCCAAACCACTTTATAACTAAATGCGAATGCTAGTCAGTGCTTTCACATTGCTGGCAGAAAGCTGGCCAGCTTGTAAATAGTTGCTTGGCTTCTTGTATGCTGGCTAGTGATTTGAAGCCCAGATGGAGTCGGCTGGGTTTCTGTGCAGATACTCAGTGAATGCAGAATGTTGACTGGCAATCATTCCCTGTTATTGTACTCTTTGGGATTCTGTGGACTCAAAACTGCCACATAATTAGTCTCTCGTGCAGCACTAATGCTGTTCAATGCTTATGTTTTGCAAGGCAGACTCAACTTGATGTAAAATCATTTTCTGGAGAGCAGTTTATCAGAATGGTAAACATTTCAATATAATGAGAAAGTTCGTCCCCTAATTTTAATGATCGTGTTTACTGAATCTAGCAGCAGAATTCACATCAAACACATTGCATTACAAATACTTAGTTGTGTGGTTCACAGTGAGTACAAGAGGGCTTTAGCATACAGTTACTACACTGACAATTGTCTGGAAATGTGGCTCTGTAATCTGTGTTTACATAACACCAACACTAGAATTTAGACTTTAATAGTACTTTAAAAGTGGCTCATGCTAATTAGCATGTTTTTCTGTAAAAGAATTTTAAACTGTGAAATAGTTATGATGTAGAAAGGAATGTGGTAGACTGATCGTTTACAATGCATAACACACGCCTTTTATCTTAAGCTGGAATGTCAGTTCTGGTTAAGGTTACAATACCAAGCTCTGCCAGTGTCTTAACCGGTAAATACACTTGTGTTGTCGTACTGAACTGTCAGAATTGAACATTGCCAATTGAATGTATTTTGAGTTGACCAGTCTCGAAAAGAGCAGCACTATCATTGAAAATCTGCTAGTAAGTTGATGGCATGTGCATACAATGGAGGAAATTGCAATTAAATTGAAGGAAAAATGTAAAAAAAAATAAAGTGGCCGTGCTGAATATAAACCGTGCGGTTGACAATTACTGCATAGAAGTGTGTTAATTTTATATTCAGAGTACTGGGACCTTGTCCCAAGGTGCAGCAACCAAAATGAACCAAACCAATGGACAAGCGTGCAAAACTTGCTAGGCTGAGGTTGACATTTTAGTTCATCGAACCACTAAATTCTTCTACATCAGTGAAGGAAATGGCTCATAAGTCAAAATTAATTCAAGTGCCTTTAATGTCCCCTATGAACATGTGTTTTGGTTGTCCTTTTGTCTCCCTTGCACCTGCTGTGCAGATAGACGGATGTCTCATGGTTGTGCAGTAACTATATGGTGTGTCTTTTAATCTATTTATGGCAATGAATCTCTTACACATTTTCCCAAAGCATCAACCTATTCAAATGCTTCTGATGATCCATTCCACACGAAGCATAACTGTGCAAAGATGAAGCAGCTGGTATATTATCTGCACTGGTAGCAAAGCTAATGTTTCTTGAGCATTAGTAGGTGCTTAATCTTAATAAGAGAAACAATTATGTTGTTGTGTGGTTTTATTTTAATGTTCTATAGAATAAATTTTGTAACCCAATTAAGTTTAAAACAGATTGTCAGACTTCAATGTTTTTTACTTGCAACAAAATTGAGGATTAAGGAAGTACTGAATTGAGATAAGTGTGTTTACATGAAGCAGATGACATTTCGGATTACATTTCTGTTGCTAAGTCAGCAGTGCAGTGGTCAAAGTCTTTGTGAAAGTTAAGGTTCCACCCACGTAAAGAACAAACAATCTTCTGTAAATGGATGTTTTGCACATTGTAAACTAAACTCTTATCTCCCAATTTTAAAAAAATCACAAAACGTGATTCTAAATAGCACCCTTTCAGTTTAAAACATTGGTCAATGCTTTTTTTTAAATGAACAAATCTGCTGAATAGACTTGATGATGTCTTGTTTCTGAGCTGCATTTGTATATTTCAGACACATTTGGGTCTGGTTGTGTAAGTTTTGTTCTGCCGAGGGCAACTGATGTAATTGCCAAAAGAAAACAAACGGAATCCTATTTTTAGTGTCTGGTTTAGTAGCTGGGCTATTGATATATGGCTGCAAAAATGTCATGAGAATAAGCTGGGGATATCTTGCACCATGTTTTCAGTCTGGCTTCAGAGACTTGTGGGGGTGATGAGCTGAACAAGCTTGAGTATGAAAAATATTTTGGCCCTGAACATTCAGTCACCAAAGCGATTAAATTTTAGAATTTGTTCATGACATTTTTCTTAACTGGTTCGCACGTTTTCAATACAAATATTTTTTTTTCAATTCATTTTGTTGTATGCTGCAAAGGTCAGAATAATTTAGTCTGTCCATTATTTTGTAGTCCAACTTGACTTGTCTGGCTATAGAGTTGAATAACAATAATCCTTGCATTTGGCATAGTGCCTTTCACGTCAGGATGACGTCCCAAAGCGCTTCACGAGGTATATTGTAAAGTGGAGTGATAGTGTGTGTTGTGGACAAACGTGGCAGCCAACTTGTGTTCAGTGATGTCCCACAAGCAAGAGAAATCCCTTCCATTTTTGAATAGTGCCATGGGATCTTTAACGCCCAACTGAACAGGCAGACGGGGCTCGGTTTAGCATGTCATTCAGAAAGACGGCACATCCAACAATGCAGCATACCCCCAGCACTGCATTGGTGTCAGGTTGGACTGTACAAGTTTTGGATTTGGTTCTTGAACGCACAACCTTCTGACTTATGCAAGAGCACTACCAACTGAGCTAGCCTTTTCATATTTAAAACAAATTGTGGGCCAGGTCTAAGTTAAATATTCTAAGTTGGTGCTGGGTCTCAGAAATGAAAATCTTGCACAGGGTCCCCAGCAGACTCTTCAGAGCTTCCCTCTCTGACTGTCCAGCGCCTTGGGATGTCCTCCTGTCATGAAAGGCGTATTACAACTGTAATTTGTTGTTGCTGCTGCGGTTTACAGTTGGCCTCACTGCCATTGGTTTAAGGAGTAGAAAAACTGTATCTGGAAATATTGTATGAGAATAGGATTGAACTTCTCAAAATACCAACACCAACCAGCCTTACTCATGAAATGTTGCCGTTTCAGTTACTGGAATACATATACACCCATGTTACCATACCCCACTGAAAGGAAGGAGGAGATGGGGGAGAGCCTTCAGCAGGGGAGAAATTTAGAGGGAACGTTGATAACTCACTCCCCCTTTCCCTCAGCCCCATTGTCATGCATTTCTTGAAGCCTTGTTTTCAATCTGCTGCCATTTTGACCCAAAGTTATTCAACTAGTGAGCTATTAACAGTTATATGCAACATTTATTTTGTGGAGGGCATGCATTTCAACACAAAAAAATAGTTTCTGATTAGGACAAATGTCACCAGCACGGTGGGAAGGTCAGTTGTTTCAGTGTTTCTCATGCATTTTTTGCCTGTACTGTTTCTGCTGTAAATTACTGAGAAATATTAAAAAAAACGAGGGTTGCTTCCTATTTAAGATTTAAATCTTTGGTGTGGCAATCTTTAATATGTGTGTTAGACCATGGCTTTAAAACCAAGCCATGATCTAACACACAAAGTTATCTTGTGTTGCAGAGTAAGTCAACATGGTCACAGTAAAATCTTATCCTACGGCAAAATCTAGCTAGCGGTGCATCTGAAGTACACCATTAGTAATAATGCTAATAATCCTTGCATTTGGTATAGCGCCTTTTCATGTCATTGAGACGTCTCCAAGCGCTTCACAGAATATATTGTAAAGTGGACTGACTGTATATTTTGTGGCGGAAACGCGGCAGCCAATTGTGCACAGCAGTGTCCCACAAACGATCATGGATTGAGTAACCAAATTATTATTATTATTTTTTGGGGAGGATTATTACTGCCAAAATTATTTAACTTATTTAAAGATCCTTAAATGGTCGCTGCCATTCAGCGTTCCAAGTTTGTCATGTCACTGAAATCCAGCTTCCATTGCTTCCTTCTGTATGTGGCAACTCAGTGCTTCTCCCTTCAAAAGGTTGTGTGTTGTGCTCTATGTGACTAGATCGTTTTGGACTGGTACAATTTGGATGTGGTTTGGATGTGATTTTTTTTCCTTTTACACTTGTTGCTCGTCCTGTTGCTCTCGGTTAATGCTGGCAGTTAAGTTTCCATTTGACCAATCAATAATCTGGTGGAAATTGTCACTTATTGTAATAAATGGAATTGATTGCATTTGATATCTGGCGACTCTCATGTTTTCTAATTTTATTTGCCGTTAATGAAGAAATTGAGCACCGTCCTCGCATTAGAGGAAGTATTATTACCCTTGAGCCTGGCATCCTCTAAATGAATCATATTATTGCACATAACAAAATGCCATGGCTAAAGGCATTATTCTGCTGTATGGTTTGTTCTGTGGTTTTAAAGATTTGCTAAGACTTCATTCTGTAATTCGAGTACAGCATTTACATTTCCCCTTATCCTACTTTATTGAATAATTCCACTTTTAGCTTTGAAACTCCTTCATAAATCAAAGACATGCACATTTTTTTAAAGAAGTGTAGTTTTTTTTACTTTGCATGGTATTCTTTGAGTGAAAACCATAGCTGGTTCACATTACAAAATTTGCAAAAATTACAAATTTACACTTATATATTGCCTTATATGTTGTGAGGATGTCACAAAGCATTTAACAGTGCTGGCTGGGTACTTGAGTATGGGAGCCAAGGAGTTGGGAAGGGGAAAGATGTCCAAAAGCACAATCAAATAAACAGACTGACCTTGAGAAGGAGGAACAAGTCGGAGGGACTCCGGGTTGGAGTTTCAGAGAGCGTGGGCAAAAAGCCTGAAAACTTTTCATTTAGTTTGCCAGGTTCATTTAGTTGACAGTTTTATTATGTTATGGATGTACAGTTTGTAGGGCTAGAAGAGTTGAGGTGGGGGGGAGATGGAAACAAAAGTATCTGCAAAAATCCAGCATCTGTAGAAATGCAGTATTCATGGTACAAGTTCCATTTGTATTGTGAGCAGAGCAAAAATCTGATTTGATAACAGCAACTTGCACTTATATAGCGCCTTCCATGTAGGGGAGCGACTCAGAGCGCTTAGATAAAAATCTATCAGACAGGAAGGCTTTGTGTTTCTGATTTCTGAAAGATTCTTTGCAGTCAGATTGTTCAAAAAAAATCCACTAAATGTTAAATACACAAAGGAAATGTCCCAGGAGCCATTCTTAGATGTGAACATATCATTGCTTGCAATGATACACAATTGTAGGTTGCACTGCATGGCTTAAAATATACCCATCTCTATGTGTTCATTAACTAATTGACCACTCGTGCACACATGAGAGTAAGCTTTCCACTCCTGCAAATGTGTTGGATATCTTTTGATTTGCCAATAATATTGAAGTAACAGAAGAGATGGGTATATTTTAAGCCATGCAGTGCAACCTACAATTGTGTATCATTGCAAGCACGGAGAGTACAACGCATGCCTGGTTTCCTGGCTTGGAGTAAGGTGGCAGAGCTCTCTATACCTAGGTTGAAACTCCTCTTCTGCTCGTGAGTTCTCTTACTGATGGAAAAGTAATGGTAATCTATGACACAAGCTAAATGTTTAAATTGGTATGTTTCCCAACAAGAACCTTAATTGCTGTTCCTGCATAAAGCAGTTGTTTGGTGCTAACCATATGAAGCGTGAAGATATTTACTGCTGACTTATGAAATGCTAACCCTTACATATTTTTAGCCAATTAGTGTACATGGTCTGAGAGATCATTGTCTCCAGTCTCCAGAACGTTTATAAAAACTGAAGTCTTGATTGATTCTACATAATGGATTGGACAGTAGAGGATATTCCATACATGCAAACTTAACCGTTTCCTCTGTTTACTCTCTCCCCAGCTATATCTTCAGACTTAGCTGTACTCGACTCGGCCAGTGGGCCATTGGCTACGTCACTAATGATGGAAACATCCTACAAACCATTCCACACAACAAACCCCTCTTCCAAGCTCTCATAGATGGGTGCCGAGAAGGATTGTACGTATTTGATGATAATTTTAGTTTCATGTATTTATTTCACATGAGAAATTATTTACTGCAATGTTTTCATTGTGATTAGAATACGGTTTGTTATTTGATGAATAAAAAGTTCCTTGTCATTTTAAAAAAAACTTTTCAGCTACTTATACCCAGATGGACGGAGCTACAATCCTGATCTGACCGGATTGTGTGAACCAACACCTCATGATCACATAAAGGTGACCCAGGTAAGCTTGCTGAATGTGCATTAAAGTTCTATGTTTTATTTCAGGACTTTGTTTAGATAGATCACCCTGCTTCTGTAACAATAGTCACCAAAGAAAGTCACTTGATCAATTTTGTTCAAGGAGGGCACGTGCAAGGTGAGCCACCCACATCTTGATGGTTGTTCACAATGTACTGGAAGTGTATTGACGTCATGCTTTTGACTTGAAAGGCGCTATATCAATGTAATTTTGTTGTTTCTTTACTGGGACAGCATGTGGGTGGCATTGTAGTTGGAGGAAAATGGAGATCCTGAAGCTAAGGAAATGTTTTAAAAATGTGGATATAAATAGCAAAATGATGGTGCATTCTTATTGAGTATACAACTTGACCTTTTTTTAAATTGTCTTCATTCAATTTTCTTTCTTTTTTTAAAAAAAAACTTCAATCTCTCCCATCCAGGAGCAATATGAGCTGTACTGCGAGATGGGATCCACGTTTCAGCTGTGTAAAATCTGTGCAGAGAACGATAAGGATGTGAAGATTGAGCCATGTGGTCACTTGATGTGCACTTCTTGCTTGACAGCGTGGCAGGTGGGTGGCTGAATGCAAAGTAACAACCACTTGCATTTATATTGTGCTCTTTGTATAGGATAACATTTTCACAATGATGGGATTGGAAGCTGAGCAAGGGAGAATGGGGAAGTGGGAGGTGACTAGAGGCATAGGCAATGAAATAAGTTTTAAGGCGAGATGTAAAGAAAGATAGGGGGAGAGACAGAGTTAGAGGAAGGGAGTTTGAAATTTCTGTAAAACGTTCAGAGAAGGAAAAATATGGTGATTTGAAGGGGAAAAATTGAAGTAAAAGAATCCTTTTAACTGTTATCTCTTAAATGCATTCTGTGAACATAACTATATAAAGGGCTTATACTGCCACAGTTATGAGGTTCAAAAACATTTGTTATAAAAAGTAAACTAATGAGGTAATGTAAATGATACCAGTCAAGACAATTAGTGATGCATTTAAAATCAAGCTACATGTGTGCGATCCTGAAAGCACAAGCTACAATTTCCTGCAGGAAATATTATTCCCTTAAAATGGTTATGTTTGTACTTAAGAATATAACATTCAATCTGTCCAAATAATGCATGTGATTCAACCCGGATTTCTTTTTTCAAGGAAGGAAAATCCTAGACTTAATGTTTTGATAAGCATACAGTAATGTGAACTTTTTCTTGAATTTAATTTGTTTAATGTTTGCTATCGATTACATTGGAAGTATAAAAAGGCAAGCAGTTGATTCCATTTACAAATATGTTTCCTTTTGCTGATACTAGTTGCTGTTAGCAGATAAGCAGACTGGGTTCATTATTTTATTCTGTGGGAATCAACATGTATAATCAACTAGGCTCAGTTGGTAGCTCACCTCTTGAGTCAGAAGGCAGGCTCAGTTGTTTGCAATCTTACTCCTTGAGTCAGAAGGTCAGGTGTTCAAACTCTAAGTCAGGACTTGAGTTCATAATCTAAGGTGACATTCCAGTCAGTATGGGGGAGAACTGCATTCTTAGCTGTACTATTCTTAGGATGAGATATTAAACCACATTGTCTGCCTATTCAGGTGAGTGTTAAAGCTGTCACTATTTGAAAGAGAAGGGAGTTTCTCACAGTGTCCTGGTCAATAATCCTCCAGATAAAATTAGTCATTTGCCTCATGGCCATTTGTAGGGCATTGCTGTGGACAAATTGTCTGCCATGTTTGCCTGCAAAATACACTTACTACGCCAGTAAAATTCCTGTGAACCTCTTTCAAACATTTCAATGTCATAAAACGCTACATGAAACATAAGGATTCTTATTTCATCATTTCCATCATCCAGACAAGTAATCATTCGCCGAATGACAGCCAAAACCTGAACTCTACAACAAAGCCAGAAAATCATTGGCAGATGCATCCACTGCTCACACCATGTAGATTCACCACGTGTACTGTAACTAATCCACAGACTAAATCTGATATCTTCTCATACCAACAACCTGCTAATCCATTCTAAGCATTCATTCATTCATTAGGAAAACTGTGAGTCATGCATTAAAGAATGTTGGTAGCTCATTGAGGTATCTTTGAGGCATTTTCAAAAGGAGTCTTCCTTGTTGAGTTTTGGATATTGAATGCGTTAAATGGCCTGCCAGTGTTTGCAGTCTTACCCAAGTGGAAGAATGTCCGCTTGGGTAAGGTGCCAGACTGTTGCTAGAATGTAACATGAATTCATGCCTGATGAGAAAGGGGGTGGGATTTGAGGGAGGCAATAGATTATAGTGCAATGGGATCATATATTGGAAAAGTCACACACAGTGCCACAAGGTGGATGGATGCAGGTTTGATGTACTTCTCTACTCTATCAATTATCCTTTCTACCCCACATCTGCGCCATGACCCGCTCTGCCTTCCCCCACTTCTGCAACATTGCCTGGCTCCGCCACTGTCTCACAGCGCAGGCCGCCGAAACCCTCATACATGCTTTCATTCCCTTGCCTCATTCAAGACCCATCTCAAGACCCTCCTCCTCAACTGTGCTTTCGATCTCCCTGCTTCCCCCCCCACCCCTCCCCTGCACTCCACCCTCTCCGACCCCAACCCCCAGCTCGGGTCCAAACCTGTCTGTCCAGTGCCTTGGGACGACCTCCCAAGGTGATATACAAATGTAATTTTGTTGTTGTTAGAATTGAGATCAGGAAGATTTCTTCACACAGAATGTTGTGAAGATGCAGAACATTCTGCCTCAGAAAGCTGTAGAGACAAAATCTATACAGTTGTTTGAAAAAAGAGATCGACAGATATTTGGATAATCGAGCTATTTAGGATATGGTAAAAGATCTGGCAGGATCTAATAAACTGGTGGAACAGGCTTGATGGATTGAATGGCCTCCTCCTGTTTTAGTTTTCCTATGTACTGTACAGTGAAAATCCTAAGCAATACTTCGTTGGCAGGTTGAGGTCATTATTGTACACTGAAATAAGTGTGGAATTGAATTTAGGACAAACAGCTTAGTTTTTTAAATTACACTAGGAGAGCACAAAGGAAACTTAATTTCTGTGGATTTAGTTAACAATTGATGATGTACAGCCAGAAGTATCAGGCATAGATACTCTTGACTGCAGACTCCTATTGAAAAGCAGTCTTTAATTGAGCATGATAGCAGACACGCACACATAATTAACAAAGATAACAGCGGCACATACACGGCGAGCAGAATGGCCGGATTTTGAACTGAACATTTCCTTGTAGCAATATTAATAATATAAAGATGAATCACTCAGGAAACAGATGTTCAGATTATATTAGAATAGAATAAAACTTGAAGCACCAGTGCTTTTTTTAATCTTTTTAGAATATTGTGGGCATTTGTGCAAATAATATTTATACCCACGTAGCACTTTTCAGTGCAGAGTGACCCTCCTATGTAACACAGTGTTTCAGAAGCAAAACATGTTAATGGATCTGTGGAATAAATTACCATCAATCCCATTTCTAGTGTCAGGTCACCACTAACTTATGACCCATACTGGCCGGCTTTATTCACAAGCGCATGGCAGAAAGTCTGTGCCTGAAAGTGTACATTACTTGAATGAAATCTTCTTCTGGGAGTCTGACAATAATTGCTTGCATTTTTTGCTAAATGATAATTTGCAACAAAAATCAGCCTCTCTTTTCATCACAAAGGTCACATTCTTTCAGTGCACGTGGGTGGTACCTTTTTCTGTTTCTCTAACTGGTAATTACATATAAATGTGCTCATAAATGGACTTGTTTTTGAATTATAGATGAAGGTTGTAATTTTGTGCTATATATATATTTGAGATTGGCACTGCTGTCATGATTCATTTAAGTAGCTTCTGGGTATTTAGCAAAACCATAGTTCTCAATTTTTGTAGCTACTTTTAGATTCTTTGTTTTAAGGAAGTCAACATTTTATAACATGTTGAATTGTAAAGGAGCCAATAATACATTGAATTTGCCATTTGTATAATGGTGTTAAGTGGAGTCCTGCAGCTTAGTGGTTAGAGCACTCGCCCCCAAGCGAGAGACCTGGGATTGATTCCTGGTAGGGTGAAACATTGGGCAAGTTTCCTTACTCTACGACGCCTTAGTTTATCTAGCAGTAAGTAGGAACCCGGTTGGCGGATCACGTTTCTGGGGTAATAGTTCCTTAAAAAAAAATTAGTCACTCAATCCATGACCATTTGTGGGACACTGCTGTGTGCAATTGGCTGCCGCAATATACAGTCAATTCACTTTACAGTGTATTCTGTTAAGCACTTTGAGATATCGAGAAGACGTGAAAAGCCCTATATCAAATGCAAGGATTATATATTATATATATATGTATCTTTCTGTGTCTTTCTCTGTGTCTGTTTAACCGATTGACATAGAGACACTAACCGGAGTCCTCCCAATAGGAGTTATCCCAAAAGGATATGTGTGGAAATACGTGAACCAGGGATGCTAATGGGTTCAATAGCACATTTTCTTAATCTTAAGGGATAAACATACCCAAGAAGTGAAGATCCATCCCTTCAAGGACAAATAAAAATGTCAGACGAAAGAGAGAAGGTCGATTAAATGAAACTGGCTGCAAGCGTAGCTGCAATGGGTACAGCTAGTGTATGTGTGTGTATATGTATATAATATAAATATATATAGATATATTTAATAATGTTATTTACCTGTAATCAAAATGTCAAATTTTAAAGAAATGAACTCCTTTTCTACACTCTCCACTTATTTCAAATGGGCTTCTATTAGCTTTAGTTGAAACATTTTACATCATGAGGGAATTTGATCAGTCTTATATTTCAGCTCTTGTTTATACGGTAGTAGTTTGTAAAATAATGCAACAAGTCCCATTACTGATGATCCTGTGTACTTCCTTTTTGCCTACCAAGTGTGATCATAAACTTTATTTATTTCATATATAGGAATCCGATGGTCAGGGATGTCCATTTTGCCGCTGTGAGATCAAAGGTACAGAACCCATCATTGTTGATCCTTTTGATCCAAGGGATGATGGCGCCAAATTCAACTTAGATCTTTTCGGAATGCCAATGTTAGACCTGGATGATGAAGATGACCGGGAAGACTCGTTGGTTATGAACAAACTAGCTTCTGTTCGCAAGGTATGTTTTTAAAAGATAAACTGCCAGCCTGATGCACTGAGTCAAGGTTGTGTTGCTAATCGAATACAAGTTGATTTGAATCGGTTGATTTTTGATAATGTGCATCAGTCTGTTTTTTTGAATACCAACAAAAACATCGGAAAATTTTCAAATCTCCACAAAACTGCTGAAAAGAATAGTAGTCAAGTTCATAAGCACATCTGCCAATAAGGGAGTTTCCAAATAGTGTAGAATCCTTGCCCCATAGCCATGAGCATGAATCTAAGATCCCAACAGAAGACAAAGCCTTGTGATCTACATAATTCGAATGCTAACCCTTTGCCAGCTTTAGTTGAAGTGGAGGATAGGATAAGAGTCATTATTGAAATATCGAATTAAAAGAGACGCCATGTAGTGGATGTAGCTGCAGTTTATGAGTGGGGTAAGTCGCTGATTTGAATCCTGGTCCAGCCCGAGTTTGCTGGTTTGAGCTGGAGCTGCTTGGACAAGCTAAATTGGCATTAGCCTTCACTTGATTGCCTTTGACGTGAAAGGCCCTATTGCAAATGTAATTTTGTTGTTGATTAGGGAGGGTAAAATCATCCGGTTGCTGGCCCTGGTCCCTCTTTACCACCCTCTGCTGGTAGTGTACAATTATGACAGCTGGGCAAAAACGAGCCCTCTACGGTTAAGAGTCTGGCAAACATGCGTTGAGCAGAATGGTCACCAATGACTCTGGAACTGTACCCTTTTAAGAGAAGGCTGGGGAACTGGGCAGAGCATATGGTGGAGAAAATTAATTGGACACACCAAAGAAAAGTAAAAAAGAAAAACTGAAAAGCCAACAGTTTTAAGAATTGGATTTTTCCTCTTTGTTCCTCTCCCAACAATTTTCTTCCCTCTCCAAAGCTAACAGTGAAAGCTGAGCTTGGTTCATGTTGATGAGGAATGACAAATTGCTGAGGCTGACTGCATGATGTTTTAAGTCTTGAAATCCCTCCAGATCAGTTGGTTACTATTAAGTACAAAACCCTGCATGACTGTTGCATGATTTTCTTTTGCTGGTTATGCCTTGGGAAGAATTTTCAAAGAGGTTTAACATTGCACTGTGGGAAATTGTGTCACTTCCAAGCTTTCCTCCCTTCGCTAATGATTCCAGTTTGCACCAGACTTAGCACTTATGCACCAGCTCTGCTGTCATTTGCAAAGACAGTTTAATTCTGACATGGTTGGGGGGGAGGGAGGGGATTGAGAATTGATTCAACTGTGGCAGAGACACAGTTTTGTGCAACTTTGGTTGCAATGCCCCAGAGTGGTAGGTTACAGGCTTGTCCCAGTGATTTAAAGGGCTGGAAGCCAAGGAACTTATGCACACTCATATACTTAGAACGTATTGCTGCACAACAACATTCAGCTAACTTTAACAGAAGTCGCTGGGAACACTCAGGTCAGGCGGCATCTATGGAGAAAGGAAAGTGAGTCAACATTTCGGGTCCACGGTTCTGATGAAGCTGCCTGACCTGCTGAGTGCTCCCAGCCACTTCTGTTTTTGTTTTCAGATTTTCAGCATCTGCAGTATTTTGCATTTCAGCTAACTTCAACTTGTTTCTATTCCAGCATTAACCAGATCTTGTATCTGGGACCAATGGACCTCAATTTAAGTGAGACCAAAACAATATCACATTCCATTATAATAGAAAATGTATTTGTACAGATAATCAAATGTTGCTACCATCAAAATGAAGGACCCCAACTGCATGGAAATGCTTCAACTGGTTCCACCTATCAACCCTATACGGTTAATACACACACTTCCCCGCATTTCCATCATAGCACTGAGCCATCCCACAATAAAACAAACCTTTGCCCTGATGCATTCACATGAAATAAAATGATCCCACCATATGTGTACTGATTGTAGCTATTAAATGTTCTCCCAGAAAAGGCTTGCTACATGATGGGTTTTTTCTTTTTGAAAGGAAAATGAAAATTATTGCAGAGGGTTTGATGATGTGTTCACTAAAATCCGTTTTCATAGCCGCATCTCTTGGTTCAATCTTGTTTGTTTCCGTTTGATTTTTGCAGTGTATAGATAGGCAGGTTTCACCGGTGTCTTCACCAAACTCATCACCTATTGCTCAGCGGAGAAAACCAGCTCCAGACCCACTCCAGATTCAACATCTCAACCTCCCGCCAGTGCCACCTCGGCTGGACCTCATTCAGAAAGGAGTGGTCAGGTCACCGTGTGCCAGTCCCACTGGTTCTCCAAAGGTACATTTTATTTTCAAAGGAAGTCTTAAAAATGGTAACATAAATCAATTTGGTGCCTGAATGACTAGATATACCATGGTCAATTTCATAGTTTTAGTCTAGATTTTGAGAGAATGAGTGGTTTGTTTTATATTATCCCTTTGTGTAACTAGTTTAATCCCACAGATTTAATGTCATTCCTAATTTCTGATGGAAGTAATGTTTATGTTTGTGACGTGGTCAGATTTATTTTTCATAGCTTTCGTGCGAATTTTGGGGGACAGGAAAGGAGAAAGTGGCTGTCAGGAGATAGATTTAAAATATTTGGGTGGAAGGGTATCAGAGAAAGAGATCATCCCCAGAATCATACCTGTTATTTCGATACTGATTTAGAAGCGTAGAAAGTTGTAGCAGAGAATTTGCTTGATTCTAACTTTGCTTATTTAAAGCGAGTACCATTCTATAGTTTCACTATACTCCCCTTCCCGAGAAGAAAGGAACAGTTAATGCTGTTTTATAACATCAGTGATAAATGGGCCATGCAATTCTTTGATAAACACAGTATCCATTTTGATTGTGAGTGTATATAATAATGTTTATTTTTTTTAAACAGTCGTCTCCGTGTATGGTAAGAAAACAGGACAAGCCTCTGCCAGCACCACCACCTCCCCTCAGAGACCCTCCTCTTCCACCTGAGAGACCACCACCTATCCCACCAGAAAGCCGAGGTCCACGTTCTCTGCACCACCCTGACATTGCTCCTACAAGGGACCAACATGCAACTCGTGAAGCTTGGTGTCCCAGGGAAGTGCATGGTGCTGGTCTTTCAGCAGACTGTCGATCTGGTAGTGATCGATCGCCTAAATCTGCACACACACCACCTACTAATTTGAATGGCAGACAGAGCTGGCATGCGACAGATCCAGGTTTTTCACGCAACCCGGTCAGACGTCCAGATGGAGCTCACGATAATACAAAGGTGAGAAATCCAAAGGTGCTATTTTAAAATAATCTCTGAGAAGTTGTGCTTCTTTTCAGACAAAACTATTTATATGGATTTGTTTTATTTTTAATATGGGGGAGGTAAAAATATACTAGACTGATTCATCTGAACCTGTGACAAAATTTCCACGTGCATTTGACACTTTTAACTATTTTATTTCTAACCTTGTTAATATTTATGATCAATTCTTAAAACTATGCTGAAAAATTAGAAATCAAATCAGAAATGCAAACCCATCATCGATTTTAGGAGCAGCACAGGGAGTTTAGAATGCAGAGTCCAGCAATAATGTTATCCATTTTTCGTGTTGCTGATACTGAATAGTCTCTCATGCTCTCCCAGTTGTCATATCACGAGACTAGGTCATTTTTCTTCTAATACTGCATTTTACCCACTTTCAATACAATTGGGTCAGTCACAATTGTGTGTGCTTCCATTATAAAATTGCATTAGATCGAGCAGTGTGCTAATGATGGAGATTTTGCTTTTATTCTGTCCCATTTATATTCAAGTCTTGTAGTAGTTCTGATGGCCTGTGTGGGAGTAGATTTCAGGTTACAGATATATTCAGCAATTTCCACACTGATAGGATGGCATTGATTTTTTTTGTTTGATTTCTGCTCTTTTTGGCACATTCTTGAGTCAACTGTAAATATTAGCTGATCTTGGTCATATGTATCGACCATGATAGAATTATGTGGTTATAACTTATGGATTAGGATATTGGAACAAGCCTTGAGATCCTAATAAGACTCTAAACAATTTTTCATCTTTATTATGTTTCTCGGCTGTTAGTTTAATGGCCTTAGGTACGTTTCACTTTGACTTTATTTTATTTATTGCCACACTGATTAAGAATTATTTTAGTTTACCCGATGGTTAGCAATGTATCTGTGTAAATTTGATAACAATTCAACAGTTCTATATTCTCTGTTTTTCAGAGAACGTTTAAGACAGAGCACATTGTTGCATTTCTATTTGTGAAATTTTTTCAAAATGCCAGATTTCTCAGTCAAAATGGTAGACTGCAGTGCATTGAGCTTTAGTTTGGGGTCTGTTTTGCACCATTTCTAAATTTTCTATTGTCCTTGAAACATTAAGGAACCATCCTAAACCTCCTCACATTTACAATGGATTTGAGCAGTAGTGCTCAGCTTCACATGCTGTTGTGCTACAGATTCTAGTAGTATGTTTTTTAGATATGAATTACGAGTATTATGTTGGCTATTTCATCTCACTTGTGAAGTTACAGTATTTCTGGTTGTGACATAGTTGTCAATTAAAACACAGTCTTCTCCGTGTGCTTGACAGTGAATGCCGCCCCATCTTTAGCAGGTCTGATCCTTTCGTCAAGTTCTCCTTCATTATACATATGGACTCTAGAATACTTGTGCTTAAGCTTATAGATCTTAATTGACATTACTGTATGTTGTGTAAGGTTTTGCTGATTCCAATGTCACCTTGGAAAGCATCAAGGTGGACTAAAGGATTTATTAATCACTTCACGCAACTTACATCAACGTTGGATAAACGGGGAGAGGGGGAACATTTCCAGTTCTTGGTAATTTTATAGACTCTGGTGGTGTAAGTGTATAATGTGAAATCAATACATTTGTAGTCAATGGAAATTGCCTGCCAAGGTCCATAAATGTACTGATGCCCAGAAAGTTATCCCCAAGGACGTTTAAATCATTACAAATTATGATGGTCGCTTCCAATGTTATTCATAAGAAAACAGTTGTATTTGTGAAAATACCAGGATTGAGTTCATGCTCCGTCATAATGGCAAACTGATTGGTAGACAATTCTAAATGAGGCAACAGGAAGGGTGAAAGAAAGAAAATTGTCTGACCTCACTTTAAAGTGACGATCACTTCAAATGTGGAGTCCTGTAAGCGTAGTGGTCAGAGCGCTCGCCTCGCAAGTGAAAAGACCTGGGTTTGATTCCCGGGCAGAGCGAAATGTTGGGCAAGTTTCCTTACTCCACACGGCTCTGTTTACGTAGCAGTAAGTAGGAACTCCATATGCTGGACGGTCACAGTATCCTGATTGAGGGGGTGGAAGCTGGAAAAAATTAAAAGAAACAGTGGAGACAAAGAACCTGTTGATTTCTGAAAGAGGTGTTGCTGGTCTCCAGGCAGATTCTATTTTTTGTGGTTTTGCTTTTTTTCAAAAAAAAAAAAAAATTTTTGGTGAAAACAGCTGCGCTCCTAAGATAACCATTCCAAGACTCGCAAGAGCGTATTGTTTGGCAGAAAGCCTTTTTGCTGAAGTACTGTCAGTCATGTAAATGGGCGTAATCAGTGAGTAAATCCAGGAATTTCTAAATATCATTCTGAAAATCCAAATTGTAAAAGTTTCAGATAATAATCATTACATTTAGTATAGCGCCTTTCACGTCAAGAGCGTGCCCTAAAGCACTTCACAGGATATACTATAAAGTGCAGTAAAAAATGCGACTTTTTTTGTGGGTGAATATGACAACAAATTTGCACACAGCAGCAAAGAGGTGAATGACCAGTTTTATTTGGGGGATTGTTGGCCAGGCCATCGGGAGAAACAAATCCACATTTGTGCAAGGTTGCAATCCTTTTCAAACTGACCTTGTCATAGTTATCCAAGAGTAGTAAATGTCCTTCAAGAAATCAGCCTATTGGTAGGTATCAACGCTTGAAATAGCCAGCTATGTTACTGGATGTGTTTTTGACTGTGTAAATGGTGTAGGGCACGCTGACCTCACTAAACCATGTTCACAAAAGATGAAAATGCTGCTCGGTCAAGTTTGAGAAAATTCAGCAGTTGTGGGTGATTGGAGGTCCAGTAAATACATAGTATTGAATTTAAAATTCAAACTGCCTACCATCGAGTGACAAGTTATTCCTTTTGGCGTCCAGATCATGTTTTATGTAATGCAAGCATTTCTACAAGTACTGCCTTTGGATTTTGAAAAAAAATGTGCCTTAACTGTTGAGAAAAGCTGCTTATCTATAAAATGCCTTGCTTGCTTGCCGGCTGCTCATGAAGTTACCAGTTATAGCTGTGTTATAGCTCATCAACTTGGCTTTCCCAGTCAGCTTGTTAGTCCTGACGTATTGAAGTCTTCTTTGAATTGCAGCATCCTAATGCACACAGCTTCGCTGACTGAATGCTAACTGCTTACATGATTGTTGCGCTGCCAAACCATTTGTCACAGCTCTACATCTTGTTGAATGTTGAATTGCAGGATGCTGCGTCATGTCCTCAACAGGATTCTAATTTTGCTTTGTTCAAGGTACAGCCTGCTTTATTTCTAACCACCATGCAACTCTGTGTATGATTATCACATCAAAATACTGTAAGATGGCTTTCATGCATACTATATTGAGTGAAATTTATATTCTGTGAATGTGTGCTGAGCAACTCGCTCTGCATTGACCAAAGAAAATCTCCACAGACTGTGTTTCTATGTGAAAGCACAGAGCAAGCTTCACATTACTAAATGGCACTGCGGAAGAGATGGAAAAAGCCACATGCAGGACAGCTACATGATTGGTACGGCATTCCTTCCTGAATCATTACAGCTTTAACCTTACCGGAGAAGGGAGTTTGAACTCTGAACTCCTGAACTGTGTGAAGTGATTTATTACGTTATTGTGCTGTTCTATTGCTGCGTGCAAATTGGCTGCCGCATTCGCCCACAAAATACCCACCATCAAACTGCTTCTCAGTGTATCCTGTGAACTGCTTTAAGATGTCTCAATGATGTGATAAGGTGCTATATCAAACACAAGGATTATTATTATGATCAAATTTATTTATGATCAAATCACATCTCTTAAACCCTTTAAGGTAGCAGTGTTTTGCAGATCTATCCAAGTCTTTTTATGCATGAGCCTTAACCTAAAGGGAATATTGTTCACTGTTGTAACTATTTTCTCTGAGGGATATTTTATGACACCAATTTGCCCACCTTGGATTTTATCAACCCCTTTGAGTCTCTTTGCCCCTTGTAGCTCGGCTATTCTAGAAGCTGACGATATTTGATCTGGCTGAATTTTTAGAGCACTGACTGCACAAGCAGCTGTCTGAAGATGTGAGCTTTAAAGACGTGAGATTTAAAATGTTCTGGTCAGCTGAACATGTGTAGAACTAATCTAAATGCATGGGAGCAAGCACTTCTGAGAAAAAAGGGAGATTGCATTGACTAACACCACCAAATGAAAATGAAACATTAAATGCAACCAGCTGCATTTTGCTGGAGAGTCAGTTCCTCAGGAAGTAATTGTAAGGATGTAGAAATACCAGGATAAATTGGGTTTCAAATATAATTAAATATTTGCGATATTCTTCCAATTAAAAATGTTCATATACTTGGCGCAAACACAACTGTAGAAAGGATTAGAGACCCAATAAGCATACTGATAGTGTACTTATTTGCCAGACTTTCACTTTAGTGGATTCACCAATGTAGATTCCCCGTGGTAAATTTATAAAAAATTTAGATACCCATTTTACTTTTGATTGCTGTGGAGAAGAATCTAGGATTTAATTCCCCACTGATTTCTTCGAATCAAAGCCAAATGAGAAACTTAATCGGCTGTTACAGAGCAGTGGATTTAATGTCAATCTTGGCTCCCAGCCACATTCAGGCGCTTCATGTGTTGCTTCCTGACCATGTCAGCTGTGTTTCAGTGCTAATTGTTCTCGTACGTATGTGTTTAAAGCAGGTGCAAGTCCTCACCCTTTTCCTAACAGAAACAGGAAGTTGGGACATTTGTGATGATTCCTGCCAAGAGATTCTCAGTTATCTGATGTGGTTGCAGCGAGTTAGCTCCAAATTGTATTCTAAACCTCGGCAAAGCAAGGCAAGCTGTTCTTAACACTTAGCTTTCAATATTACCCTGCATGCCATTTATTTGTACCATGGTAATCAGATTGCAAATGTACTTCATTGCTCCCAACAATGATTTGTTGCCATTCTTTTCTACAAAAAAAACTATGGTTCGCGAATATCTCTGGTACAAGTGAGTCATGAATGGTTTCCCAGTGAGCAAAGAATATTGGTGGCTGGCGAGATATTGGTTTTAGCTAATAATTATCATAACCTGTGACGGCTGATTGCACTAGCTCTTGGTAACGGCTCTCCCAACTTAGGAAACCGGTGTTGTAGTGCCTGTCTTATGTGCTATTGGAAACCTTCTCTGGAAGGAAAATCGGCATGGATTATTTTCGAAATTTCCAAAGTGAGCACCAATATTTGCTCCGTTGAATTTACCATTCTCTACACTCATCATCCGGGTGATCTTCCTGAGCAAGATTAGGTGTAAGATTGAATTTGAGTCTGTAATTTGTTTTGAATTTTCACTTTGTGTCAGCAAATTAATAAGCAGCTTTTAATAATTTAATATGATCTACAGTGTGATCTAAAGATGTGGTTCACATGCATGTGAACCGCTCGCATGCTCTGTAGCCACATCTCACCAGATCTGGCCAGGCTCCACTGGCTCCCCATCACCGAATGGATCGACTTCAAGATCCTCACACTCGTGTTCAAATCCTTTCACTCTCTGGCACCTCCCTACCTCTCCGACCTCCTCGCTCCCCAATCCACCACCCGCCTCTGCTCGACTGGCACTGAACTCCTGCTCGTCCCTCCCATCCTCCGCCCCACCATCGGAGGTCGCACTTTCAGCCCCTATGCCCTGAAACTCTGGAACACTCTCCCTCAATCCAGTATAGTCTGTCATGTGTAATGTGCCTACATATGACCTTGTTTGAATGTTTTGAAAAATCCAGTCACATCTGTTAAAGATGCAAATTCTTAGCAGGAAATACCAAGGTTTGAATCCAAGTCTACCTACAGTTGTAATAGGTGCTGTTGCAGTTGCTATGAACAAATAGTGAGACAAAATTGAATCCAGACCTGATGTACTGTCTCCTCATTTGACCTTCATGATCATTGCTTCAAAGCAAAGTACTGCTTGAATTGGTCTAAGGCATTTCTATTTTGCCTGCTGAAATTTAAGATGGGCGTAGCCAAACTCCTATCTATGCTTAGTTATTCAACTGGTTGTTATGGCTGTGGGATTTTCTGACTTCTGAACCTTGGTTATAGTGTTATTATGATAATCCTTGCATTTGCAATAGCTCCTTATCACGTCTTCGAAACATCTCAAAACGCTTCACAAGATATACTGTAAAGTGGTTGACTGTGTATTTTGTCTGCGAAACATAGCAGTCAGTTGCACAAGGCAGTGACCCACAAACAGCCATGGGTTGAGTGACTAATTTTATTTAGGGATTGTTGGCCAGGACACCCTTCTCTTTTTGAATAAGGTCATGGGATCTTTAACATGCACCTGAACAGGCAGACGGACCTCGGTTTATAATAAATCATCCTTTCATTTGATATAGCGTCATTGAGACGTCACAAAGTGGTTCACAGAATATATCGTAAAGTGGATTGACTCTAATATTTTGTGGGCAAAATGCATCAGCCAATTGCACACAACACCCAAACAGTTGCGGATTGAGTGATCAATTTTTGGGGGTTTTGGAGGGATTATTACGGAAAACAGTCCGCCAATTGACTTAACCGATCCAACTTACTGCTGAGGAAACAGGCGTGTGGAGTAAGGAAACTAACCATTGCACTACAGGACTCCACTGAGTCTACTGTTTAATGTCTCATAATGTTCAGAACCCCACTTGACTGAAACTATTATATGTAAATCCTTGTTGTCAAAGTTAATATCAGAATGTCCCTACCTACAATGTTAATCACCAAATATTTGACTCAACTCTTCGTTGTGATGGGATAGTTTAATTGCAGGGTAGATTGATTAAATGCTGAATTTTATATACAGTAAAAATGTAACGCTACTATTAACTCATCCCATGAAATGTCACAGTATTCTCATGAAAAAGTGGTCTTCCAGATGACAGTCTGATCTTTATTGATGCTTCATGTGAAAGTACAATTGTAAAAATGAATGAAGCAACCTTCTCTCTCTTGTGTCACTTGCTCTTACATTTTTTCCCACTCCTTTCACACTTAGCCCCAATGTACATCTGCATTACTAATGTGTGAATGACTAGGCCTCACCATCAACACTGACTTTCTTTTTCACTGATTTCTCCATTGCTTGAGTAAATAGGGGCAGGAGAGTATCTTTCTGTGTTTAGCTATTGAACCACTTCTGCTGTCTGTCTAAATCTAGGTGTAGACCTGTTGCAGGCCTCAGTAAGCTCAGGGATACTTAGGATAAAAGTGCACTTTGACAAATTATGTAACACAACATTTGAAATGATGCATGATGAAAAGGAAGCAATGAGGAAAAATAAGTTAAGAACTTTACCACACCACAGTTAAGAACTTTAAAATGCTTTATGACTAGGTAGAAATGATTAAATGTCAATAAACTAATTATCTAATCATGTATTTAGTTTATAAAATATTTAGTAATATAATAGTGAATACTAATCAATAATAGTTATAACACATTTTGCATTCATAGTGCATTCTGTGGATTATGGGGCATTGTGTATGTAAAACTTTCCCTCGGTCTGTAATGAATGTGGGTCAGGGTATTTTGTATGTTCACAGATTGTTCTCAAAGCACATGCTAATGATCAGTAAGTTAGGATTTTCCTTGATGGTATCTACATCTTGATAGATTAATAGTTATAACATGATGGTTATATATTAGTCAATGTACAGTTGATGGTATCTATTTATTAGTAAGTATCACACTTATCAAGTAGGATTGCTGGTGCATTTTTCACTTAAGCTAGTTTTTTAAAATAAACACATTGTGGTAGGGTATTGATGAATTGGTCTAGGTCATGAAAGTAAATGTTGCGTGAAAGGTTATGCAAATTGCTATTTCTTTACGGAGTCTTGCCAGATCTTTGCTACTCACCATATTAAGTGCACCTCTGTTTTCCAGAATGCAGCACAGTTGACTCAATTTCTAAATTTAAACGCCATTATCCTCCTACAAAGTTTCTAATGTGAATTTTGTCATCTTGCACGCAAGTCTGGTTTCGCATTACTTTGGTCCTCAGCCCACTTATTACCTATAATAAGCGGATGCAAAGCAGGCTTCTCTTGCATAGTATTGGAGAAACTTCTGTCAACCAAAACTGCAATAAGAATCATAAAAATATTTTTCAGCTGTATTGTTTAGCACATTGACACTGAGAGAAACCTGCCTGACTCAAATACTATATACAAATAGGAGCAGTGCGATTGTTAAGAGTTGATATGCACATCTCTCAACTCTCCTTTTGAGGTCATTCGTACACAAATCCAGAAAATACAACTAGGTTACCTGGTAAGAACACAGTTCTGTGCTGCTTTAAATCCTGATTATATAAGATATGAGACTGGCCTGCAAAGCAGTAAAAACCTTTTGAAGCTCTTTAATATGAATTGATATTGGGTTTCTTATACAAGCAGCAATAACTTGTTCACTCTTTATTCTTTATAGGCATTCACCAACGGACTGTTGAGAACCGACGAATATGATATTCCTCCACCTCGACAGTCTCCGCCTCCCCCAACAACAACACTATTCTCCAGCAGCACAAAGTAAGTTTGCTGCTGATTTTACTCAGGAAAAAATGGTACCAATTTACCTTAGTCCTGAATGATAGTTGGTATTCTCTACCTTCATGATCTTAAATCCTTGTAATTGTTAGATAAAAGCCGGAAAGAAAGAACGACGAAGAACTTGGGCTCTCAGCATTCCTTTGAATCTGATGTCTGCTGGGTGGTTTACTGTGTGATGTGGTATAGAATTACAAAGAGCACATGGGTCACAGCTTCAATCCATGGTCTTTGCCAAGTTAGTTAATTTCAGGCAAGGCAGTGGTTGGGACGGGTTCAGACTGATCCTGCCTTGCTTGAAATTAACTCACCACGACCCTGGCAAAGACTAAGTCAAAGCAGTCGAGAGAGATTTCAAAAGAAATCTTACAGAGCTACTACTTGCATCTATCCTGCATCTAAATGCAAGGATTATTATACTTTTCATGTAACTGAATAATATACTTGCATTTGTTTTCACGTCTATTGCATCCTTGGCAAATGTAGTGACACGCTTATTATTAGCAGGTTATTAGTAATAATAATCCTTGCATTTGATATAGTGACTTATAACTTCTTCGAGGCGCTCAAAGCGCTTCACAGAACACACTTCAAACTGAACCGTCTGCATATGTTGTGGGCGAAACGCGGCAGCCAATTGCGCACAGCAATGTCCCACAAGTAGTCATAGATTGTGTGACCAAACTATTATGAATTTAGAAAAATTAAAAAGGTTGGTGAGAGATTTCAGAATATTGGCCAAAAGGCACAGACTAGTAGAGATTTGCCTCAAGGAGGCTTTAGAAAGCTGGATAAGGAGGGAGAGAGAACAAGGTGAAAGAAATTTGAGAAGAGAATTCTAGAAAGAGTGGGTGGAAGCCCAGCCTCCAATGATGAAGTAAAGATAATACGAAATGAGCATTAAAGTGGAGGGTAGAAGCTGGAAAAGACTGCATGTGTTGTGTGGGATACGATTGAAGAGATTTGAAAACCTGGACGAGGAATTCAATTTTAATCCTTTGAGGATTAGGAGACAATAGATCTTTGGTGTAGATTATTGTGATGAGAAAACTTTGCTTGCAAAGTTCTGGAGATTGTAGCTAGGTGGTGACGAGCAGTGAAGAGACCATTGGAAAAATCTTGTCAGACTGCATCAAAGGAAAATAGCAACAATACAAGTGTTTGTCATTTTGAGAATATTGTATTATGATTAAAAGTGCAGTTAGTGGAGATGCCTGCAAAGTGGAAAAAAGGCAATATTCTACCAGAAGATCCAGATGAACGAACATTTGATTAGATTTTGGGGGAAAAAATGGTTAGGAACTAGCTCATTTTTTTAAAAGGATAGATTTGTTTTGCAATAGAAAAGAAGCTTTAGTGCAGAACAGATGTTTGTCTTCATAATGAGCATTTGGGCAAATATCTGAAATCTACAAGGGCACTTTTTGGACTTGTATAACAGTTTATGATGTTTCAGCTGTATATCAAATACAGGTAAATTTTTCTGTTATAATTTTCCCCTGGAGACCTCTCGGGCCAAACTAAAGGTAGGAGGACCCATTCTGTTAGTTGTGGGTAATAGCTGCTTGGAGTATTTTGCCCTTTGTATGAAACTGTACACCAAAATATTGCTCCATGGTGCTCTGGGATGCTACCCTGCATGAGAAGTGCTATATAAATGCAAGTTATTGTTGCATGGCAGTAGTTTATTTCAATGTCTAAGGACATACATTCAAAGATGTAGTTAATAAGAGACTGATCTATAAAGATGCTAGAGTGAAAATCACAACGTGCAATTAAACACATCAAGAAACTTCCTACAAATGTCTGCCACCCACCCTCATGATAATAGATGGGTTTGAAGCAGCTCATGGCAACCATTGAACTCATTTGTTTGGTATAAACTAAAATCCTTCAATAACACGCTCTGCGGGCCAAAAGTGTTAGAGCCCAACCATTGTCGCAAAGTGAAGGCACAACATCAATAGAGCAAAATTTTATGCAATATCACTTCATATGTCGCAATTTTCATCCCTGTCTCCCCCCCTCCCCCACCTTGCCCCCCGTATGGTTTAGCATGAGCAAGGGAATCAGATTATGGGTTTTAATGGTGGATTATAGTAATATTCTCTTATTTTAGTTATATTTTTGAATAGTTAGAATTTGAATTTCAAGTATTAATGTTGGTTGCTTAACTCCATTGGGTGATACGTAAGAGACACCTGGATTAATATCTGGAAATTAACACAGGGTACTTCAGTAATTTTACTTTTATGTATATTATTGCTCAAGGGTTTAGGGGCTCCTCATAATTTTTCTCTTTGATGGTGCAATTTGCATCTCACTTTATAGAAAGCAATTAAAATTGACACAAAAATAGTTGACATCAGCTGCTGGTTACGTTTACCTGCTTAAATACACAGCAGTAAACCTATGGACTCCCATCCATCTACTCAGTTGGCCCACCCCCTCATTCCCCTGTTAAAGGCGAATTTTTGCACCTTTGATCATATTCCCTAAGGCTAGCCAGCTGTCATTGTTGTTTTTCTTTACCACTGTTATTGACTACAATTAGTACTGTATTCTTTCACAATATAGAGGGTAAGCTCAGGGTTTTTTCTTTTCATGAGGATGATTAGCTTTTATATGAATAAAGAGGTGGAACTAAAACACCACAGAGTACTACAGTGTTTTAGCAAAGATGACATTTTCTGCTGAAGGCAAAATCAGTTGAAGTCTATTTTCTAATAGAGTTCTGGATCCTAGGATTATGCATGATTCACCACACAATAATTCCCCGGTGTCTGAGGCAGTGTCGACTCTAATTATTGCATTGCAGGCGACTTGAGAACCATTTCAAATGGGTGGTATTCAGAGATTGCCTAAATTTGGGGGGGAGGAAGGGGGCTTGGATTGCTCGATGTTGGTGGACTGCCCCCCCAGCTGTTGGGTAGAATCCTAAGCACCAGCAATAACATGGAAACACACAAATGGGTGCATACTGAAGTCTGAACTTTGTTGAAAATCCATACAGGTTCCAGAGGGAAGAGATCAATCAGTCAGATAATAATGGAGAAGCTTTTTGCAGTGAGGCATGATACTTACGTAATATTTTTTCCCCAGGTACCCACACCAATTCACAAACTCACATTCAAACTTGGAAAAGCCACGGGGATTTACTGATGATAATGAAGATGAATATAAGATTCCAACCTCTTATCCCGTCTCCTTAGCTGCACAACCTCCCCAAACTGTGAAGCCTCGTGCATCAAGGTAAAAGAAATGTAATTTTGTCAAATAATTTTACCTGACATAGCTACTTCACTGTGCATTTTCACGAAAAACCTTAGTATGGGTTGTAGTGCAAAAAACAGCTTGCAAATGTACTTTTTCTTTAGGCATCAAACCGTTCTTAATTTCCTTCCCTCATTCTAAACTACCTAAGGAAAGAGGAAGAAGAGAATTGTAGAGCACCCTCTTCACCCTCAACACTATCTTGACTTAGATAAGCTAACAGCAGACAAGAGATTCAATGATCTTACTGATCAGTTCCTTAGCATGTAGTGTTTTTACCCATTGTTTTTCTTCATTTGCTGCTTCTTCCCTGATCCACACACATCAATAGTTGAGGGAGCAGATCACTATCAATTAAGTTCTTGACTGGTCACTGAGAAGCATACCGCTACAAACAACAAGAACAACTTACACATCATGTATATAGTGCCTTTCATGTACATCAACATTTCTGTGCTTTACTGTGCAGGACGTTAGGGCAGGAGGAGGGGACTGTAGGCACAGTCAAACAGGTAGGTTTTTAGGTATGTTCAAAGATAGACAGAGAAGGGAAACAGAAGGGGTGAAGGAGGGGGTTCCGGAGGGTGGAGGTCGCAATAGCTGAAGGTTTAGCCATTGGTCGTGGGATGGAGGGCATGTGGAATGCCAATTGAAGGGTGTGAGCCGACGAGTAAGGCTAGAGAAGAACACAAGAGTTAGAAAGGTGCAAGGGAAGTTGAAGGGATTTGTAGGTGAGGGGGAGGATCAATAACGTTCTGTGGGGAGCATCTTCATTTGATCTCACTCCAACAGGAACATTCTCAACATCTCCTGCTCCACTGGTAAATATCAGAAACTTTACGGAAAACAATATGTGTTTCTCTTCTCTGGGTGCTGCACGTTGATACTCTGCCATGGAGAGCAGCCATGCCCCATTTTACTTGCAAGGAAGATTCATTCTTGACCATGAAGGAATTTGAATGCTTTTGAGGACACCTCTCAGGAAGGAGCTGTTCATAACATTGTCACGATGCAGGATCTGATCCACCTGGACCAGGCTAAGGTTTGAAGGGAACAGTAGGCTAGCCCTGGATGCAGATCCTAATATTCAGATATAAATTGTAAACACTTAGTACTGGCTGGATCTTTAAGTAGATGCAGCTATATTTGGAGATATTCTCCACACCCAAGCCACGAAAAGAGCTCTTAATCTAGAATACCTTGTTTCTTCTCTCTCCTCCCGGAGGATTGTTTGTTTTGACTAATATCCGTAGCAATGAATGGGACATATTTGTTTTTGTGAGTAACTGCACTTAATTATGAACTACTTTGAAAATATAGTTCAAAAGAAATCTCCAAATCACTTGTGCGTTTCTTACTTCTAATCTGCACTGACAGTCCACTCTACCCTACAGCTGCTGTCTTTGTTTTTTATTGAATTTAATTAGCATATTGCTCCCCTATACAATAGGTCTAGGCTTGTGATTCCGTAAATCCTGGGTGACGCAAACCAGAAATGATGTGGAACTGAAAAGAGGTCCTTCTGTTACACCTGGGTCTATTTGTCAGCAAGCAATGTAGTTTGAATCCTGTTGGTGTGTGAGTTAAATCTTTATACAATTCAGAAGTTTGGATCAGAAGCAATGTGTTGAAACCACACAAGTCCATTGGCAACAAATCCAAAATAATAAATCAGATAAATAATTCTTAATAGTTACCTCTTTTTTAAAAGAAAGTCAACGGTTCTGGATATGTAGCCAGGGCATGCTTAATCCTGTGGATCCATTTCGGAGCTGTAAGAACAGTACAATGGGTGTAGGAAAACAGGTAGAAAAATCCAGAGGAACAGTAAAATGGTAAAGTCTGGCGATTGAAGGGCTTAAAGGAAAGTTCTGTGTTCGAATAACAGACTAAATCAGAGAGCTGTGTAGAGTAACAGACTGAATCAGAGAGCTAGACACAGTAACAGACTGGACAAAGTGGAGGGTATAAATTGCAGAAAGTGAAAGTTTTGAACTTGAATCAAAAATGATTGAGTATTTGAGGAAACATTCAGAACACATTTGGGTTGTCAGGCAAAGAAGACCAATTTCCTAAAAAGGTTAGATTTCTTGCAAAACTTTTTTTAATTTTAGTCAATGTTACACTGCTATGATGGTGAGCTACACGATTCCTTTCACACATGACTTATGGCTGTCTATCAAGAGCATGAAACAACCTCTGTAAATACACAAACATTCTGTTACATGGATATCTTTCCTCTTTTTTAAAAAAAAACTAGTGATGCTGGTGGTTAATTGATGAAGACTTTATGTCTACCCATATATAATTCATTTTCCAGGAAATGGTTTACAATCGCAGTCACTCAGAAGGTTAGTCTGTTGCCATGGTGATGTTGCATTTCATGGGTTGCATTAGACCACATATCAACTGAAATCTGACCTCCAAAGTACAATATATTTTAATTGGTACTGATGTAGATTAAATCCATCTTATACTGTCACATTTGTACCTCTTTCTTCTCTCCGCACCCTTACTACCCACAAGCATCTCTTTCTCCCCCATTATCTGTTGATAATGTTATTTAGATTTTTAAAACCCTTAAACGTGTTTGCATAGTTTATAGAATAAATTAATCCCTGGACCAGTAAGTTTATTTTCTCAAAAAAAACTTCAAGGCAAAAGGAAAGTAATGTCAGTATTGACCAGTCGACCATTTTTTCCTTTTGGATTTTAAAAAAACACAGCCTGTGTGCAGGGAGCTGCATGCCCAGGCCAACAACTTGTATTTATATAGCACCCTTCATGCGGGGCAGCATTTTGGAGTGCTTTATAGTGGACGTCTAATGCCAAGCCGGGGAGAGGGAGGAGGTGACCGTAAGCACGGATGAAGAGGAAGGTCTTCAGATGTGATTTGAAAACAGGGAAGGAGGGGGCAAGGCGGAGGGATTGAGGAAGCAAGTTCCAAAGTTTCAGGGCACAGTGGGTTGACACCATTTCCGGGACTTGGGTTGAATCCAGCCTGAACTGGTGAAATTAAATCTTTCTCTATCCATCCCCCATCTGTGAAATATGAACTTCAAATTGTCCTAATTTGGCAACAGAATGGTTATTGTGGTAAGTGGAAAGTGTCAGACTGTTGGTTGGGCTCTTCTGAGGTTAAGTACCTTGTTGCAAACAGAACAGAGGCATTATTCTCTATCTAACAGTGCTAAACCATGAACTGGAATCACTTGGGCCTGACATTAGACATTTAAAATTACATTAACATTGTCATGCCATTAGATGCAAGGTAAATCTTGGACATATTTTTCCACTTCTGAACAGGAAAAGGCTTTGGATCAAGCAGCATCCCCGACAGTGGTTCCCAGAAGAATAAGACCCAAAACAGTACCGTTTATTTGCTCCCCACTGAAATTTCTGCTGCTACAGTACTTCTTCCAGCTTCTAACAATTCAAAGCTGAGCAGTCCTGAGAACTAAGCCTTAGTCATATTCCTAAATTCAAGGCCTGCTCACAATCAATCATTTGGTTCAATTTCCATATTTCGATGGGAACAAGCTAGGTTTCCTTACACCCAGACAAATCGATTGTTCCAAGCAAATTTTGAGTATAATCGATTTGAGTAAAACCATTTCTAATTTACTGCATCCTGGGTCGCCTCTGACCTGCAGATACTGCAGAATATCTGAACATGCAGATTGTAAAACCTTTGAATACTTAAATCTAGTGAAATTTTCCAGACTATGAATCTACTTTTCACTGCTAAACATGAATAAAATAAACACAGATAAAATTAGAACATGTCTTGTTGTAAAAGAGATGAGTCCATGGAATGATAAAGGATACTTTTTTGAATTTAATTTATACTGAATCCAGTATTCAGAAGACTTTTGTGCTCCATTCAATTCCATGTCTCAATTATTGAGAAAGGTTACTGTATTATTTTCAGTTTGTTTAAATAACTGGCAAACAAAGCAATTGTGTCTCAATGCTTTGGGGACTTTCCACGTTTAATGAATCAGCCTGCAGTAGTTATAGATGGCTTTGAATGAAAATTCCTTTTTTGCAAGCATAACGTGCAGTTTTTGTATGTGAAGAACATGACTGAAGGGTTTATAACACTAAGAACCGGCTGCAGTACTCAGAGCGCATACAGATGATTGAATGTATTAGGCACAGTTGATGTTTGACAGTTCTAGTCTTTGATCATGTAAACAGCCTAGGGAAAGCTTCACTTTCAAAAGAATTGCCACATTGTCAATTTGAAAGTAGCTGATCAGTCAAACTCTTAAAATGGGATTTGCATCCCTTGGGCACTTACAGGTGCTTTTAAACCAAAAGACCCCGTGTTGCCTGACCTTAGGAAGGCTGGCTCATACTGTACTTCTGTTGTCGATTAACTGCGCAAAATGAAAATGTGTGTGTGTATATATATATATATATATATATAATACTTTGTGAAAAGGTCATTTTTAGGAATTCCTTCCCAACACTTGAGCTGCTGAGCCAGTGCAAAATGTATCAACTGCAGCAGCAAATATCCATATAGTCACCATAAGATGTAAACAAACAATATTTTTAATTGTTAGAGTGCCATCTGGCCATGAACCTGACTGTCACTTCAATAGCATAATGGTTCACCAGACTTTTAATCAAATTTATTGAGTGTCGTCCTATCTCCTGCTCCTCCAGGCAGTCAAATGAAAGGTTCCTTTGGAAAATGCCACTGCTTGGTCTCATCCACATCACTTGTGTACGCCTGTAAGGAATCATTAGTCACAATGCATGCTTTTTGTAAACTTACAGAATTTGAGCAATGACTTTCTGCATCATCTGAATTTTTCTTGTAGACAACCACCCAGATACTGTGCACTCCTCTGCTTACTGCTAAAGAAATTCTTTACTTAAGCACCATATTACTACCTCAAGAATTTTACATCTAATTTAATAATAATAATAATAATAATAATCCTTGCATTTGATATAGCGCTTTTCACGTCGGGAGGACGTCCCAAAGCGCTTCACAGAATATACTGTAAAGTGAATTGACTGTATATTTGTGGGCGAACGCGGCAGCCAATTGCGCACAGCAATGTCCCACAAACAGTCGTAGATTGAAAATGACCAATTTATTATTGTTTTGGGTTTTTGGAGGGATTATTATTAGGAGTGTGGAGTAAGGAAACTTGCCCAAGGTTTCGCCCTGCCTGGAATTGAACTCAGGTCTCTCACTTGCAAAGCGAGTGCTCTAACCACTGAGCTACAGGACTCCAAAACATCTCAAAGCACTTCCCAAAATTTTACTGTAAAGTTTAGTGACTGTTTAGTTGTTGGTGTACACTGCAGCCAATTTGTGCAGTGATTAACCAATTTTAGGAAGATTGTTGGCAAGGATACTGAATAGTACCACACAATCTTTATTGCTCACCTAAAGAGGCAGATTGTACCTTGGTTTAACGTCTCTATCTGAAGTAAAGCACTTTCAACAATGCGGTGCTCCCCCACCACTGTTTTTGGTGTGTCAACTAGCAATAATATGAGGCCATGAGGTCAATATTAATGCAAGTATTATTATGAAGTGCCAAAGTGGCGCTTGAACCCACAATCTTCTGATTCAAAGGCGAGAATGTTAACAACTGAACCAGATAGACACCTATCAAACCTGTCCACGACACAACATTTTACTTTGTAATGAACTTTGAACAAGCGAGAAGCCATTCTGGAAATATTAGAGCTAAAAAAGAACCATAATCTTTTTTGACATTTTGTTAATTTGAGCAATTCAATAACGATCATAATAGTTTTTTTTGAAAGCAATGATCCAATTTCTGAGTGGAATGATATATTTTCTTGCATTTACAAAATCCACAGAGAAAATTAAGGAGCTTCAAGATGCTTCTCAATTATTACTGGCAACATTGTAAAATGCATCAGCATAATTTAATAATATAATAATAATCCTTGCATTTGATACAGCGCCTTATCATGTCTTCGAGACGTCTCAAAGCACTTCACAGAATATACTATAAAGTGAATTGAATGTATATTTTATGGGAGAATTTGCCACTAAAAGAAGAGACCACATGGGTGACAATTGGTATTTGCAACATTAATATTTAATAACTTGAATTGAGTTTTTTAGAATTTGCACTAGTTGGCTGGAGTTTTATGGAATATTCTGCCCAAATAACCGCAATAATTTTAAATCTGAATCTTCTCTGTTTTCAATGGAACCTAAAATATTTTAAATATAAATTCTGGTTGACATTATTTCGGGAAGTCCTTTATGTTTGAAAATAGTTGAATAACACTTTTACTTGCATATTTCCAAAACATCTTCTGATTGTTTGATAGGGTCAGGAGGGTTTGTGTTTATTTTGAATGTGGCCCATCTAATTTCTGTATTTATATGCACTGCGGGTTTTAACAGGAAGTTAATACAGACACAGGAAATGCCACCTGCAGTTGACCTACAGATGGAAGTCATTGGAGATGAATACATGAAAAGAGTACAAAGAGAAGTCGTCCAGGCTGTATACAGAACTTTCAATATTGAAAACGTAGCAGTTAAGGACTTTGCGCTCAGCTGGTTATACTTCTAAGCCCTGTGTTTTTAGGCTAGTAATTGAGGTGAGGTGCCTTAGGGTCAAAGCAAGCTAAAAAAACATCAATGGTCACATTTTGGCTGATAGGGGAAGTGGAAAATAAATCCAGATAAACCTATGCATCTTAAATGATCTTTGATGTCTAGGCAATATACGGAATAAGAGCAATTTGCAAAGTGTCTTAACTTTTTTTTAATTGCCCCTCAATTTTCAATTTTCCCTCCCATTTTATCCTTCTTTCTTTTTTTAGCTGCTCAGCAATGTGCATCCTTTCACCAGCAGGGAGGGTGGGCTGCAACTGACAAAATGTCTTTCCAGGGACCTGTCAATGGAAAGGTGCGCAGTTCAGGTTTTTTTTAGGATTCCTTACCCAGAATTGAGATACTTTGGCATGGGGTGGGAGGGGGGAGGCAGGAGAGAGTGCAGCTCATCCCCCAAACAAACTGAGACGCACACACTATTTTTCACGATTGGTGCCTGCTACCTTAAACATTTGAGTCTTTGTGCAATGAAACCTGAGATTCCTGCTTTCAGCAAGGTTGTGCTGAAGACTTGAAGATACTGCAATTAACAATGCTGTTGAAGGCAAATAATTTTCAGCTTAAAAGAACTTTTTCATTTTCAAGCCTGATTTAAATGGCAATTATGCTTTTTCATAGTAACCTTCCCCCAAATAACTTCAGTGTGCAAGTTATTAAGTGTTCATTTTTCACATCTGTGCAACGTTTTCTGCAGTCATGCTCTCCAGCCTTTCACCCCATGGGAGCAGCTGAGGTTGCTGCCAGTGTAATAAGTAAGGAGAAATCCATTTGGATTTGATTGTTACTCTTGACTTTTTGCTTCTCTGTTTAAATCCACTAGCAATAGAGGATAGAGAGCGTCTTTCTCTCTGTGATGTTTTGTCTGTTTCTACATCTGAAAGAAAGTTCTCTTTCTACAGAAATGTAAAATGATGATTCAGTGATGATAACAAGCTTGTGGTGGATGTGGGTGGGAGGAGGAGGTGAAATGTGGGATAGCAGCCATTTAAAATGTTCATTAATTCTTTCTGACGGGAAACCAAAAACCTGGACTTGTTCTCTGATCTCTGTGCTTGTGCTACTACAAGCTCTGCACGTCTACTTCTCCTTTTATAGATTTTTTTTGTAGATTGAAATACAATGAAAAAACATTTACACTCGTGTCTTGGTATAGAACGTATTCAATTACCTGTTACAAAGTACATGCAGATAATAGAAGGAGTTCTGTATATTTGGTTGCTATACTTGGTGGTAGTGGCCTGGGCTGATTGAGTGGGAGCAAGAGATTATTTGGATACTGAAGTTGGACATACTGTGATGTTCAGGAGGCTTAAGAGGGCCGTTTATATCAGGAAAGNTTTTTTTGTCGATCGGGTGTCTTACGTGTGAAAACGTGTGGAAACCCTTCACTATGCTTCCAAACCAGACAGAGTTCCATGTGTGTATGTCACCTACACGTGGGCATTTCCGTGTCTGGAATGGAATACGCACACTCTCCCTTGAGGCATGTACCCTGCTTTCTTAAATTCGGAGACTATTAGACACAGGTTGGCAAGAGCCAAGGCTTTGAGGATAATGCAGGAATTTACCCAGCTAAAACCACATAGCTTGCCATTGGAGGAACTTGTCTGGCAAGCTTCCTGCTGTTTGTCCAGCTAGGACCACCTTTCGCGTTAGGCCTGTGGCTTCCAGGGTGAACAGCAGCCAAGTGGGAAGAATCGCTGCCCCAGTGACTGGTCTGCCACTCCCAGTCCTGCCAGTGAGCCAGGCTGGCTGGTCTATTATCAACATTGCCCTTGAAATATTGTTTATCCACCTGGCTCAGAAACCATATTACTGGGACCACCACGGAGAGTTGATTTGATTTTGCCTTGGGATGCCAAGCACATCACCCTGGATCCAGCTCAACTCAGCTCCAAGGACACTCTACTAACATACCTGTCCCATGGAGCCATTCATAGCTTCTAGGATCTGGGATAGATGGTGATGCGAGTGTAGAAAAATGTCCCACCTTGAAATGATAGCCCAGCTTCAAGCATACCCCATAGGTCAGTGGTTCAAGATGGAAGGAATGGGGTTGGGGGGTGCAGTGGGGAGGGAGCTGGAGGATTGAGCTTGATTGAAACCTGGACTAGGATTCAATGTTCTTTGTTTTTCAAAATGTATTATACTACATATATATATATATATACACACATCATATATAAATGTATTAGTTAATAATTATAAAGGAAAACTGATGGAATTACCAGAACAGTAAGGTTTTGTCTTTGAAAGGTTACTGAGTAACTCATCATTTTGCTTATCCTGTTGCTTTCTTTTTTTAAGAGTAATTGAGAACGGGCAATGTGGTAATGGAATGCAGAGCAGCATGTCTGAAGCAAAGAAACCCAAAGCGCTGGAAATCGGTAAAAAAAAATCTGTTTCTTTACCTTCCTTTTACGGTCAAATTTATTTTTAATGAACAGATTAACTACAGTAAACAACTAATGATTGCAGTAGCATTCTGTACCATGTTCAAACACATTGACTGCCTTTGAATCATAGTCTGCATGCTTGATCCATGTGTTTGATACAATAGATGGAAATCAACATTTCTAGCATGCATTAGGTTGAAATGGGGAACATTACCACGTGTTCTTAATCACCTCAAAAACCTCTATTCTAACCTAAACCAATCTGAAATATCCATTATAAGTACAGTCATTTTAAGAATATTCTATTTAAGAGATTGCTCAATTTAACAAAAATGTAGAGCCAAAAAAAAAATGTGATTGAGGATTTCCTTATTTGTTGAACAACTTCTTTACTTGCTAAATGGGGTCAGCGACAGAAAGATTATAGATTGCTGGTCACACAAAACACATTAGTCTGTTCAAGGTCCTCACTAAAATGGGTATTTTAAAAATTAAAGCAATCACTAGTAAGTATCTGTCGCTTAGCTGGGGATTAGTTTATATGGTAACCATATATGTAATCCATTCAACAACCCAAAATCTTGCTTACTTTATTAAATATCCCTGAATCAATTTAATTTCCAGAAACTGTTATAGTTCCTTTCTTAAATCCCTTTATACATAATGCAGATGATTTTTTTTCCCATTTGTTTATCACTCTTTTAGTAAAATAAATTATGCACTTCCCATTCATTTTTTGTTGCACTTGTTTTAAAATGATAACATTGGTTTTCAAGTTTTCTGCACAGCAGCAGAGCAGTATCTAATGGATAACAACCATACAAACAGTTGTACATTATATTTGCATTCTCTTCTGCGGCTTACATTTTACTGTTCTTTTCCTCAAGACACACAAAGCTTCTTTGAAAATACAAAGCCGAAAGATGGATATTAAAAGCTATTGTCAATCTACTTCCTGTATTTTCAGATGATCCCTTTGACATGCCAACTGCTACAGCTCCCTTACCACCTGCTCGGGTTTCAGCCAGAGACAGCCAAAAACCCAGTTGTTCTCTCAACAGGACACCCTCGGATTATGACCTCCTAGTTCCTCCATCAGGTATAGAATCTAGATCAAGATTTAAAAATAAGGCCCCAACATTGCAACTGATTCAAGGCTTTATTCTTAATGTATGACAAGAAGAAGCCAGTTATTGATGTTATTTAGTCTTCACTGAAAATATTGTTCAGTGTTCAATTGAATGATCCTTTCTAACTCACAAGTTTCACTCAGCAAATAAGATTGCCAGAGACCATCATTAACACCAGGGTGCTAGGAATAAATGTGCATGTTGCAATTCCCTCACACTGATTTATTTTTTAGTATTTTTCTCACAAGGTAGTTAAATAAATATTTTTTTAAAAAACACTAAAATGAACAGAGGATGACAAAAATCCTAGAATGAGGATTCTTTGTAATGGTTGGTTGGCATTGTGAATCTTGAAAAATTGGGTTTTTAATTTATTTTGAAGTATCGTGACTTATTATTTTACCCACCAGGTGATAATCCGTTTGACAGTCCACCTCCCTCATTGCCTCCGCCCCCACCTCCTGCTCGTCACAGTTTCCCTGACCTGCCCAGATCTTCAGGCTCAGGCAGCAGACCTTCCTCTGGCCATGACTCCTTCCATTGCAATACAGGTGCGTTCAATTGATTTCAATAATTCCTTCAAAATAAATAAAAATTATTTGGTCCCTCAATCCACAACTGTTTGTGGGACATTGCTGTGCGCAATGGGCTACCGAGTTTCGCCCACAAAATATACAGTCAATCCACTTTACAGTATATTCTGTGAAGAGCTTTGCGACGTCTCAAATACATGATAAGGCACTATGTCAAATGCAAGGATTTTTATTAATATTATTAATGGATTAGAGCTATCTTTCAGTAGGTTACAGTGGGTTGTGTACACCTTGTGGTGGTGTGTGAATATTTTCAGTGACCTTTTAATGTATTTGTTTTTTGACACTTATAAAACCTAAGTGTTAAAATGCATTATATTGATTTTTTTCTTAAATAATAATTAATTATTAATAATAACAAGTTATGAATAATCTTTCATTTGATGTAGCATCATCACATCGTTGAATGTATGTATCAAAGAACTTCACAGGATTTCATTGTAAAGTGTAGCAACTGTTTTATTTCTCTCAGGGAATTGTAGGCCAGGACATAGGGAGAAATTCCCTTCTCTTTTTGATTAGTGCCATAGGGTATTTAACGTTCACCTCAACAAGAGACAAGTCCTCAGTACACGTCTCATCCAAAGGACGCCAACTCCAACAATGTAGCACTTCTCCAGCACTGCAGTGGAGGAGCAGCCTGGACTATATGAGCTTAAAGTTCCGAAATGAAGCTTGATCTTTCTGACCCAGAAGTGAGAGTAATACCAACTGAGTTAATGCCTAAATTGTTGACAGTTCTCAACATATTACTGTAAATGTCATAACTTGGTTCCCTTCACCCTTGCTTCCTTTCTCTCCTCCCTTTCTCGCACTCTTCCCCCCACCTCTCCCTTTCACTCTGTGTAAATTTTTGCCCTTCCACTTTCAATTTTTATCCTCCGTATTCCTCCTTTGTTGACCTATCAGAATGAGCATTGAGAACTAGCCCAGACTGTCAGACTGACTACAAGCGCAGTTGTGACTGTGATTTTGTGTTGTAGCTACTGGGCTGTAAGGATCAGACTGTTCCACATGCCCGTAAATGTCTGGTGTACTTCAGAGCCAAGAGCAGTGAAAACTCATTCCTTCCAAGTTTTTCAGCACTTTATTAAACCTTATTAATCAAACCCAGACACAATTTTTATTGAGCAAGTGTAGAAAGAAAATAAGTATTTTATAAACCTTTACCGACCTATTAATTCCTTTTGGTTTCTGTTGATTTTGTAGCTATTTGCTCTCATCAACACTCTCAGCTTTCGCAAGGGTATATTTAATGAGGTGCTACAAATGGGTTTGGATTGCAATGCAATTTAAATTGTGAGCATTCTATGCAACTTGTAAATTCTACCTGAAACCTGTATGACAGCATATTTTTAAATGAAATCTATGTATCCCAAATTATTTAAGAAAATAGATTTGCTGCTTAAATATTCAAATTGTATTGAATAGATTAAAATGACTTCTTACGGTAAAGAAGTTATTCCTAGAATTGAGTGATATGTGGAACCACCTTACCTTTAAGTAAAAATGACTGTAGATATTGGAAATTATCCCATCTCCTGCTGGCTCAAATAGCTATATTTTATGGCAGGGGAAAGTTCAACTGGCTGGTTTGATTCCAGTTAATGGTGCCGGAGAGCAGTGGATAGTTGCTGAGTAGAAAGACATCCTAGATTTCTACTGTTGTTAAACTAGGATAAGCTAATGAACACTTATTAACTCTCATTCTTAATGCCTGAGGATGTCCTAATGGGAATAATCTTGACCATTTCCAATGTTTGATGGGTTTGAATTTCATCCTATTTCATTCCATTGATTTATTACTCCATAATCATGTGAGTGTAGATGAGATATAATAAACTTGAATGAAAATCCATGATCTGTTAGTTAACGCACAATTTAAAAACTCCACCTTACCAATAACTAAGGACATTGGTTTGCACAATCTTTGGACCCAAAGCCAGCAGTGCAGCCCTCAAGTACCTTGTCTGATCGCTGAGTTTTGGCGTACAATCCAGCCACCTCAGCACTGATCCCAACATTAACACACATATATCACTAGCTGGGTAGCTGGATAGCAAACATTCTCTCAATCATTTATGTATCCCATTTTCCACCCTGACTGAGATTGGCTAATTTGCTGCAGGCCACTGTTTCAGAACCACACCACGTGGTGCATGTAATGCAGGAAGGGAAAGCAGCTTAGCTTGCAGCGTTGTGTATACTCACCGTGTTCAATGTAGTAGATTTATATAAAAAAAGTCAATTTCCATCTAAAACATGTCTGTACTCAGACAAAACTTAATTTCAGAGGGAATCATGTTAAACTTTTCTATTTAAACAGATGCATCCTTCGACGCATCAAGCGCTTCTGCCCCTGTACCCCCAGCTCGAAGGACAGTTGAGGACAATCAGAAATCTAACAGGATATCACAAGAGTTTGATCAACACCCATCACTCGCAGGTAAGGAAAGAAGGTTGGAGTGAATGAGACCAGGTTGCTTCCTGCCAAATCATAGAGCAGCCATTTTAGATGCTGATTAATAAAAGAAAACCAGTCAAGATTAAGCCAATTTTACAATCGCATTATAGTTATGTCTACGGATAAGGAAAAATTATCCATACATAAAAAATTATGTGTTTTAGCTGGTTAAACTCCAGCAGTACCCCAGCGCATACTTTAGAGTCCCCAAGCCTTGGCTCTTGCCTACCTGCCAAAATTAGGTAAGCACAGTGTGTTCCTCCAGGAGAGAGAGAATTCAGGTGCTATACATATTTGGAACACTTACCTTGCTTTGGATATAATTTAAGCACATGTGTCAGACCAAAAGCAATCTATGACGAGGCTGTGATTTTACAAGAGTGTTATTTGATCCGGATGTCAGACCTTAAGTAGTTAACTTCTAGCAAAACCCAGCGAGACAACACTTGCAGTTGTCGATGGTAATATCAGGCCTTGTACCTCAGAGGTTTAAATTCTAATTTATTATTATTTCCACTGTTATATGCATTATCTGTAGTGTTTATTGTCTACAATTGGCAGAAATTTTTAGATATGATGCCATTTTTCTACCATTCAGAACATAATCTGCTTCTTTATTCTTTCTAATAAAGTGAATCACTTCCCTATATAAAGTTCCCTATATAAAAATCCTTGCAGTTTTTCCATGAAGTATTCAAACCCTTGAGCTACTCGACTGCCTTCAACCAATAACGTTTCACCTGGGGTACGATACCAGTGTTGTTTATGCAGGAGCAAGCCGGTTAGCACTTATTTGGTCGCAATTACCTGAGAATCAATGCATTCTGTTTTCCTCTTTCAGACAATTCCCAAGCACCGGCCAGGCCTCCAAAACCACTTCCTCGTAGGACTGCTCCAGATGGTTACCACAGGAAAAACCACATTCAAGAAACAAGCTCTTTACATAATAGTCAGGCAGGAGAAAACGTGGACGCTAAGATTGCAAAACTGATGGGCGAAGGCTACTCCTTTGAAGACGTAAAACGAGCCCTCGTGATAGCTCGCAATAACGTAGAGATGGCACGAAGTATCTTGCGAGAATTTGCCTTCTATCCTCCCATTTCATCACGTATCAATCCATAACCAGGAGCTGTCCAGGTGCAAGAGGGGGGGGAAAAAATCTCAGAATAGACTTCTGAGTTTTTGAAGAGTGTTGAATTTTAAAGTAGCGTTTGCAAGGGGGGAATGAACGTTGACTGCCCAGCCTGCCCTGCGCAGGCTCGTTGTGAAGAAGGTTCTCTGATAGAAGATAGAGAATGATGTTCACACGTTTGTTAGCCATAATGTTAAGAATCAGGGTTCAACCGAGAAGAAAGTTTACTGTTCTTGAATTTCACGTCTGTGAATTGCTTGAGATCTCTGCTGCTTGGAGCTGTCAAAATGGCTGTGAAAGTCACCTGAACTTTCTTGTTCAAATGGAATTTATACAGTTTATTGCTCTCCATATCTTTGGCATCCTGGGAATTGATCAGTCCTGCTGCAGCATCCCTTTGTTGTCATCTGCGCTGATGGAGATCACTGTTGTTTTAAGTTTTTTCCTCCCCCTCGGCCCCTTATTCAATCTGGGGCACAGACTCTTATCTGTTTTTCTGAAGATCCTTTAATTTGCTGCATTTTGGTCTATCAGACTGGTGCACAAACAAGCATGTGGCCTTCACTACTGAGTCTTTTCTGAGATAAAGTGACATTTCTTTATTAAAACAAAACTAATTTCTGAATGTAGAGTACATTATATTTGTCTATGTATTGCCTTGGTAAAGTTTGACTGTAACTTTGGCAGCTTTCCATTGTGCACAGCCTTATTTTTGAGTATTGTTTCTTTTTGAATTCCCTTCTCGTGACTGGTTCCTCTATGTTCTATACTCAGACTGAACAGAACCGATTAAGACTTTTTTTAAGTGACTGCAAACGAAAGCGCTGAACTGTATTTTGTGTGTTGCGAGATCGCTAATGATGGATCTGCATCAAATTTTTGCCAAATTTATTTTTGGTGTTATTAGGGGGACTGGTAATGCTGGATAGAGGAAAAATAAACAAGAGAAGCAGAGGAGCAAATTGCAGTATCTATAAATGCTGATCGTGGCAGAATGAATGTAAAACTCTGCCTGGATTCAATAATGTGCCAAGCAAATGCATTACATATAATAGAATCACGTAGCAGAGTGAAAATATTGGTATTGTTTTTTTTGATGGGGGGGGGAGCAATGCCTTTACTTGCTGATGATACATATTGTCATCTTCAACTACTAGTATTCTCAACCTTTAATCTTTATAGTGTTTGTCATGTTGGGCATGACTAAGAATTAGAACTGGCATCAATCAGCTACTCAGCTGCAGCAAAGGAACACTGTTCCTCTTATGCCAGATATTGTATTAGCTGTGAAATGATGGACTATTTCCTCGTCAGTTCAAGACCTGTCTGTTCCTTTCTTCACCTCGATCAATCTTTTTTATATATAAAAAATAATGGATAATAAACTAACTTGGTTCTTTTGATGTCTGTTCTCTGGTTTACGATGGTGTAGGGAGGAAGAGGGTTGGTATAGCTTTGCCTTGGGCTAGCAGACCAAAACCCAGGGTAAATGTCCCTCTCATTTATTACTGCCATTCGAATGATGGGTATCTTTTGTAACCTAATTTGAAACAAACATTCAGTTGTAGCAAAGGTGACTAGTTTCCTCTCACACCATTAGGCCTGGTGATTCAGGCTCTGGTCGTAACTAAAACCTGACCTCAACTACCTCTTCAGGCAGCAGTGCCAGTTTGCATTTAGGAATGTGTCAATCATCATAGTATAGTTTTTGAAGATGTAATCATTTCATCTATTTTCTATTGAAAGAAAAATTCTTAGCATAATAAAGCAAACTTTTTTTTTAAAAGAAACAAATATTTCCCAGTAAAACCACTGGATGTCTATGATGTACAATGTTGTAGTTAGTGTTTTACTAATGCTTCAATAACAATCTTTTCAAGGCACCTTCTGTTCGCAGCTGCTGAACTTAGGTGGTACGTTCTCATCTGTGGAATCCCTAAGAAATACATGTTGCATGTAGTAATAGTGCATCTCTTAATGGTCACACACCATTGATGGTGAGATTGGAGGCACCTTATAATCTCATTTACAGCACCAGAAGAGGATGGCAGTCTTTTAAATCTCAAAACTATGGTGCACCGTCATTTTTGTTAAATGTTAACTTTCTCCAACCCTTTCTGAGGGTAATTTTAATATAACTTATTTTATAATGTATTTATATGTTGACGAATGTAGTCAACTAACAAAGTCCTATCGTTCTTAGTTTTTCCTCCAGTTGAGTGAGGTGTTGTGACTGATGCCAAATCTGCTCCGTCTATGTGCTGCCTGTGAAATAGTCTAGTTGCAGAATATGGCTCTCGAAGAATCCCATCTTCTTGCTCACTTTGAGAAACGCCCCCTGCTGATGTAGCATAGTGACTGCTTCTTTGCATCGAATTTTTTTTTACTAAAATAGTTTTAGTAAAATAATTCGGCAAGAATTGAGAAGGTGTTACTACATCCAGTCATTATAATCAGTCCCATGTTAAGATGTATGCAAAATCTCGAGAGGGTGAGAAACGAAACAAAACTAGTTTATTTTTAAGCGCAGGATTCACTTTTCTGTGTAAAGAGGCAGTGAAGGGTTTGATCCAAAGCAAGTGTTGCCTTCACCTCACCATTCCAGGTCTATTGACAAGCCATCAGCAGTACATCAATAAAAAGCATAGTTTCCAACTGAGTTTGATCACTTAAGTAGCACTTGGCTTGCAAAATGATGTACTTTTTTAAACAAAATGTGAATTATATCAATTTACTGAGCACATCCTTCTGATTCAGGGTTTTTTCTTTCTTCTCAACTTGAAGGTTTATTTTCTTTGCACTGGTCAACTAGTCTTGTTTAGCTTCCTTATCTCTCGAGTATTAAGTTTGACGTTGAATAGCCATAATGTGCTTTTAGTGCCAGAATGGAGAAGTGTCCTTCGTAAAGCACTCATAGCAACTTGTAGGCACTGGTCTTCCTGTAGGGAGAGTGGAGCTGCTGTATGCCTCAAAAAACAAGAGAAAGTCTTTTTAACATAATCGTACTTTATGACCCGACGATCACACTTCATCCACATGTGTGAAAACTCATTTTATAGTAGGTTCACTTATGTCGAACGTATGTCCAGAAGCTTAAATATTTTTTTAATGGTGAGCAAAAGTCTGTTTTTGTAGGACCTTGAAATGATGTGTGCTTTATATTGATCCTAACTTTCCATTTGGGCTGCTGACCCAGGCAGTAACTCTCATATCTCTAAGAATGCAGTCGTTTGTGTGTGTGTGCTGCAAAACACTTGCCGCAAGGTGCAAGCCTCTTAATTCTGCTGGTGAAGCTCATTGAAAATCAGGTACTGCCTGTGCTCTGCCATCAGCTCCTCTCTAAAAAGTTTTTGACTGCAGCAATTTCCGAAATAGATTTTACATATTAACTCCCATGTTTTGTCAAAGAATGCCTCTGTACTTGCCTAACACATGGCAACATAGTGATGTGTGCAATTAATTTATATTCAACATTCTTTTGATCTTTCTTTCAGTTCTGAGTATTCCGTAACCTTTTAAATATTTTATCTGTCCTTGTAAAATATTTTATAAAACCAGTATTACAAAAAAAATGCACTTGTGTCAGACCCTTATTTCTAACATTCAGTTTAATCACGACTACAGAAATATTTATCAGGGAGAAGCAGAGGGGGAAAAAAAGTGCTTAACAGGCACTATATAAATGTGTATTGTATTGAAGGCTATCCACTTTTCCACTTCTATTTTTAGGCACTGAGGTCAAGGGGGAGTGAAATTCTGATGCATGATTAAGTGAAACAGCGAGTTCCCATTGTAAGCACAAATGATCGTAAATATGTGCCTGGATTCTTCTACGTGTGACATAATTGGATTCCACAGTTCGTATTTTCTCAAAGGCAACAGAATGTTCAAAATACTATGAGCTTGTGTTATTTCTTATGTGTCATTTCTATCGTATGATTAGCATGTGCAATACTCCCAAGCGCTCTGAGATGCTGTTTGGTGTGAAGGGCACTATATAAATCCAAGGCGTTGTTCTTCGTGCAGAGGAGTGAAGATCATGTGGAATATAAACACAAGTTGGGCTGCGTTGTAACAACAGTTTGCATTTATATGGCGCCTTTCACGTCAGCAGGACGTCACAAGGCGCTGGACAGTGAAGGGTTTGTACCTGAGCTGGGGGTTGGGAGTCGAGAGGGGTTGAGGTGGGAGGATAACCAAAGGCACAGTCAAAGAGGAAGCTCATGAGATGATCCCTGAAGGAGGTAAAGGAGGGGATGAAGCGGAGGGATTCCGGTATGGATTTTAAAAAAAATGAGACCAGTCCTGGGACCTCTGAAAGCAGTTAAGCTTGCTAGTTAGTTTGTCTAGTTGAGATCTTCAGCTTGCCTATGGGTCACCACACACACTAACTCCAAGCTTATGTTTAGGTCATTATTGGTCAAAACATCCATGTGTCCTGCATTTAGAAATGTAGTTGCTGTTCACTTCAGTTGCTCTTATTTGGAAGCTATTGAACCCTTGGTTTTGAAATTTGCATTTATAAGGTAGCAAAAATGTATCTGCATTCAAATTATTGTTTTCAATGAAGAAAGTTCTAAAAGTCAATCTTTCCTCATTGCTCTGTACCTTTAAGTGCTGAAATGAATCAAGATGCCTTTCAAAATCACCTCTTTCGACTTGTACATAAGTCTCTCAGGTACATATCCCAAAGTCAGCATGTTGGTAAGTGTCTTTGTACTGTTATTTCAGTTTATCGCTATACAAATCTAATATAATAATAATCCTTGCATTTGATACAGCGCTTTTCACGTCGGGAGGACGTCCCAAAGCGCTTCACAGAACACACTGTAAAGTGAATTGACTATATTTGTGGGCGAACGCGGCAGCCAATTGCGCACAGCAATGTCCCACAAACAGTCGTAGATTGAAAATGACCAATTTATTATTGTTTTTTGTTTTGGAGGGATTATTATTAGGCGTGTGGAGTAAGGAAACTTGCCCAAGGTTTCGCTCTGCCTGGAATTGAACTCCGATCACTCGCTTGCAAAGCGAGTGCTTTAACCACTGAGCTAATGTTGTTGTTGTTTATCAGCTTTACTCTGTCTGTCCAGCGCCTTGGGACGTCCTCCCAACGTGAAAAGCGCTTTACAAATGTAATTTTGTTGTTGTTTATACCTCAAAGCATTATTAGCTCCAAGACTCTACCTTGCATGAAATTTAACATTCAAAGCAAATAAATGCAAGCTGTTGCGGATTTCAAAATCAACCATGTTATCTCAATATTCTTCCAATTCTAGCATGTGTTGGGTGGGGGTAAAAAGAAAAGAAACTGTAGACCATTAAAGCTTCAAAACATTTATTTTTAGCAAATTGGAAAGGTTAAACAACAAGGAACTGTTTTCCGCACTCCGCAGTCCCTATTAATTTAGGATGCCATAGTAAGTACATGTGTATCACATCTGTATTGCAATGCAGGCTTGGAGGGGAATCAGTCAGCAATAGTGGTGGCATGTAATGACCTAGTACTGGCCTGTATGCTATCCTATTAATTATACAATGATTGTATAATAATGCTGCATGGAGTCATTGGATCTGCCTATTGTATACAGGGTGATATACCTACCTATAAGGAAACCTTTATGCAATATATTTGTAGTCATGTTAACGAGTTCTTTTTTTCTAAATGAAATTAGTTTTGACTAATGACCTTCCTCCCCTCCCTTGCTAGCCTTATCAATTTAGCAGAGAAGTGACTGGATAAACAAAATATAATGCTAAAATGTTAAAGGGAAGGGATCTATGTGAATTCCCAAAAGCCCACAAGTCTCTATGAATATGCCACACCAAACCTCTGAATTGTTTTGTTCAAAAAGAATCTAACTACAGTACATGACATGAGAAAGTAGAAGATATCACCTAAAATGTGACTGCAGATCACCACAGAAATTGATCCAATAAATTCCATAAGAAACATGCACAGTCTTAGCATATTTTAGCAGACAGACAGCTGGTATATTCAGCAGTCATTTCCCATTGACTCAAAAATTGGTTTATGGCAAAACATAATTCCCTGATCTGCCACAAGCTTGATCTCTTTCCAAAACTCTTACCGGGGACTTTGTCAAGTCATTCTCACCCTCCCCTCCACCCCACCCACCCCCATCCCCATTTGATTTCTCTTTGATTTTGTATCTACATAACACACTAAAGTCATAACTCACATTGCTCAAAGCAAAGTTTTTTTTTACAGAGTGCTCATAAACAAAAACACAAAAAATTTAATTCCTATTTATATTTGGCCCTTTTTTTACAATAATATCCTGTCTTAAGTTTGCATACTTTAACATTGCCCATTATTAACCTACACCCCTCACCGTGAAATCTGTAAGTAGCTGTGAGGTTCAGCTGTTCTATCAAAGGAACACAAGCGTTTCTTCCCACCCACACTACTTTTTATCTGAAGCAGTTTTGGAGGTACCATCGTCTTTGCCATAATGAATGGGAATAATGTGCATCTATTATTGTCATTCTTTATCACATTGACATGACGTGCGATGTGAGAGCAGCTGGTGCACCACTGTCAAAAAGCCTTGTGAGCAAAACCCAAGGGAAGAGACTTCAGGAGTGAGAAGAATTTGAACCTAGACCAAGATGATTGTCCGAAGCTGTTTGAAAGCAACAAGTCTAGTGGATTTAGAGAAGGATTAAATTTTCTGCACTGTGCAGAAACTTATAACTAACCAGAATTGCCATGAAAATGAACCTGAAGCTAACATTAAGCAAATGGAAAAAAAAAATTACATCTGACGAAAGCACAATCCATTATTAACCCACAGATCCCAACTATTAGGAAATGCCATTTGCTTAGCACTACCCAATCCCTGGAAAATTAACATTCAAAGCAAACAAATCAGTGCAGATGTTGAAAACTTTTTTTGTTTTTTTTAAAAAAAGTAACAAAGACTCACTTTTTGCAGTGGGGAATGTTTTCATTCTTTTGAGGACTCAGTATATTTGGTTTTGAGCAATAAACATCTTTTAGTTTCTAACATTAGACAGTTGTGTATTGTGTGTGCAATAGGAAAGGCAGAAGAATTATGCAGCTGATAAATAGCCACAGAATGGTTTCTTCTCCATTCAGTGTCTGCAAATTTCCAGTCTTGTACAGTTTTACCATTTGCACTAAATTCTACTGCAGTCCTCAAAGAGAAACAGAAACCAGTTCAATATGGTTCATTCAAAACATTAGGGTATTCAGCTGGATGAATATATACTTCTGGGTCTCAGAAATAAAACATTGCCAGTGGTGGTCAATGGCAAATTCCAACTTGCTGTTGATCAGCACATCTTGCAAATCGCTGTTTCAGTGGCAATCGTTTCCTTAAGCAACTGTATCTTCTTAATAGATGTTTATTTCCTAGAAAGAAAACAAAATAAGAAAACTGCATGGTTTAAACTGTTATTCAGGATATTTGAAAATTCCTTCACTTCCTGTTATTTATGCTGGAAAATACAATACAAAGTTACATTTGTACAGCGCCTTTCACATCGAGAGGATGTCCCAAGGCACTGAACACTCAGCGATTTGGACCTGAGCTGGGGGTCGGGATCGGGGAGGGTGGCCGAAGGGGAGGGTTTTGAGACGTGCCTTGAAGGGGGTGAAGGAAATGTGGGATGGATTTCCATAGGGTGGGGGCAGATGGCCTGACCGCCGAGGGTGGAGTGTGTCAGGCGGGGGACGTAGAGCAGTGCAAAAATCAATTCCATTTGACCTTCCTGAAAATCACCTGACTGTTTAATTCCGCCACCTTGACACAATCACCTCTCAGTCTTGAGTTAATGGAAAACTCAAGATTCAGATGACATCCATAAACTACTTAGCTAGGCTTGTGATGTCGTTTGAAGTCCTCCATTGAACTGGAGCTTCAGTCTTTGTTCTCCAGCGTCTGTTGAAACTTGCAGAGCTCTGAGCTGATGGGAGAATGCTCATGACCAATAAACCCAGTCCCCAAATTACAAGTTATTTATGAGGCTGGCGGTGTATTACAGGGTTAGGTACCTGGCTTGCTGACACAGTGCGGTTATATAGCCACGGCGCCTGGCGTGTGGTTGTTATCATCCGTGTGTATCTTCTTGATCTCCTCTGCAGTACCACTTTCATTGGTTTTTGAAGCTCTGCAAAAAAGAATGAAGTTGAAAGATGAGAGACTTGCGAGTTTAGAGTGGATTCCTATCTGATGGTTAAACAGGTAGAACTTAAGAGCAGGAGGAAAAAGACGAGGTCAGAAAAAGTCCATTAAGCCATCTCCCTCCAAATCTCCGACTTCATTGTTTCCTTCTGCTCAATTCAATGTCCTTGTACTCTTGATGCATCTCATATGTTATAATAATAATAATAATCCTTGCATTTCATATAGCACTTTTCACGTCTTCTCGACGTCTCAAAGCGCGTCACAGAATAGACTGTAAAGTGAATTGACCGTATATTTGTGGGCGAAACGCGCCAGCCAATTGCGCACAGCAGTGTCCCACGAACAGTCATGGATTGAAAATGACTCAATTTATTATTGTTTTTATATTTTGGAGGGATTATTATTAATACAATAGAGCTGTTGCTATTCCAAACCTAGGCTTGTTTATTAACAGATATTTGGTAACAAAGCTGGACCTGAGAGAAACCTTTTATCTGGCAATTAAATCCAAATGTTTCAATGTTTCTATTAAAACAAATCAATAATCAAAGCTCCGCCTGGTACGACGCTAAGCCTACAGACGCGAAGGTCACACAGGTTTGAAAGCAAGTCTGATCTCAGCCAATGGAATTAGTTGGGTGTTGCAGCTGGACACAATAGAGAAGGGAGAGTAAAAAAATATCAGTCAAGATTTCTGCATCTGATCACAATTCAGTGACCTTCTGGCTGGAAAGTGCTCATTGCAGCAACAACAAATTGCACTTGTCTAGTGTCCTTCACATTGGAAAAACGTCCCAGGGTGCTGGACAGTCGGAGTGTTTTGGACCCAAGTTGGGGTCAGGATGGGTGGAGGGTTGGTGTGGGGGTGGGAGAGTGGCTGAAGGCACGGTCAAAGAAGATCTTTAAACAGGACTTGATTTTTTAGGCATTCTGACAATGAAGCTCCTTTTTCAGATCTCATTTTACTAGAGGAGACTGGTTGATCATTGAGAGCTTTCCGAGGTTGATGTGAGAAGCTGTTAGCGTAAAAGAGATTTAAGCCCATTTTTCCGGCTCAGAGAAATTATGTTGCCGTACCTTTTCTTGCAAAACCAGTAGGCTACACCAGTGATGACCGCAGCAATCACAAGGCCAACAATCACCCCCACTATCACCATGGCTTGCTTATTACTCTTCTCCGCCTTATCTTTATTGTCTGAACAAAGGAGCAAAGCATCAGAATAATGCAGCAAAACACCAGATTTGTCACAAGCAACAATAGGTTTGGAAAATAATGACAATGATCATCCTTGCATTTTGATATAGCGCTGTATCACGTCGTTGAGACGTCTCAAAGCGCTTCACAGGATATACTGTAAAGTGGATTGACTGTATTTTGGGGGCCACACGCAGCTTGAGTGATCACATTTTTTTGGACGTGGTTGTTACTCCCCACCACCCCTCAATCGACTAACAACCGCGTCTCCGGGGAAACAACCGGGAAAAGCTCTGGTTTGCAAAGGGAGTCAGTTTTAGTGCCTCACAATTGCTAACGGGGTATCCTGACATACACTCATAACTGCCTGGCGAGTGCCCCCACAAACTACTTATAACATATTGGAATGGGAAACCCACAAGATGGCTGAATTCCCTATTCAGAGACTTGGGAGTTTCTTTTACTCAACTCTGTTGCCGATGCGAAGCACCCCCCACCCACCCCCAGCCCCCACCTCTCTTCCACTGCATACTTTCAAGTTGTGGACATAACCAGAGTCACTCCTTACTAGAGAGCCTGTGTAATATTTTTGATACACAGCCAGCTGCTCAGCGTTTGTACACACGCTGCATTTATTTAATGCAATAATGACTCCATCTGGTGGTTGCAGTAAATAACAGCAAGCTCCATTCTCCAACCACTTGTCAACATCATAAAAATAGTGTTGTTTATCAGTGAAACCCACATTGGCGTATGTATTACATTATCTATATGTATAGGATATAAACCTTTTTCGGAGGCGGGGTGCAGAGAAAGTTACATCAACTCTTACGATAGGCACATTTGTGACCCCCTTATCCTCGCCCCAGCAGAGGAGGTAAATAACTTTTATGAGTCAGTGGGGGGGGGTCTCACTGACACTCAGTTATATATGCACAACATCACAGAAATTAAATATCGCTCACAAGTATCAGGGTGTGTGCCTGCCAGATGTGAGCTCCTCTGTTAGAGAAGCTTAATATCCTTTTTAATAATTATTATAGAAACAATAACTAATTCCCCAGTAACAAGTTCTCTGTTGATATTGCTTAACATTGGGGAAATGCACTCGATAGTAAGGATTTCTAATCCTACAATTGCTTTCAACCCAATCCAAATACCAGCAAGGGAACATGTGCTAATTGTGAGCAGGGAAGATCTAAGGTCTGTCATAAGGTTGAAAAAAGGAAAAAAATACTCCCCAGAACACTCTCTCACCATCATTAGCATAAAACGTAACACATCAAAACCAGGTCGCACAGTAATAATAATCCTTGCATTTGATATAGTTCCTCACCAGTGTTTCACAGGATATACTGTAAAGTGGATTGACTGTATTTTGTGGGCGAGACAGAGCAGTCAGTTGCGCACAGCAATGTCTCACAAATAGCCATGGAGTGAGTGACCGATTTTAATTGGGAGATTGTTAGCCAAGACACAGACTCTTTTCTATTCAAAAGAAAAACTCTCTATTCTTTTCAAATAGTGCCATGGGATCTTTAACGTCCACCTGAACAGGCAGATGAGACCTCGGTTTAATGTCTCATCCGAAGGGTGCCACCTCCAACAATGCAAAACACGCCCAGCAATGGATTGAAATGTTAGCTTAAACTATATAATTAAAGACCTGACGTGGGGCTTGGACCCATAACCTTCTGACTCCGAGGCGAGACTGCTACCACTACAAGGCTGGCGGACACACAAATTTAAATATATTCCAGTAAACAGTATTCTTCACCGAATCAGCTTAAATCTACTTCAGATGCCCACCAGAAAACCAGTGTCCCAACACATACCTGGAATCTCCTTCTCAAGATTTTTGTCATTGTCATCTTCTTTGTACTTCACTGAAAAGATACAAAATGAAGAAGGGTTAATGTGTGCCCACCGTATCAGGCTCTGAAGCGTGCTCCACAGCTTTCTTGTTAATCGGATTGTATAATTTTCCACTTGCGCCACTTATGCCCCATAAACTAATCTTTCCCTCCCACCCCAAAAAGGTTTGAAGATAATAGTCATTCACATTGGAGAGAGGCTATTGGGAGTAGAGATTCTTCTCTCTTAGTTCCTGCTATAATCTTACAAACCAAAGTCCCAATGGTAGCTTGTCCTAGATGGGCAAGGAGTGGAAGCTTGCCCTGGTGCTTTCGCAGTATTCAAATACACCCTCCAATGTTCTCAGCAACACCCCCACTTCCTCCCGGTTAACCAAAGGCAAATACTTGAAGATAAAAAAAAATAATCCTTGCATTTGATATAGCGCTTTTTCGCATCTTCTAGACGTCTTAAAGAGCTTCACAGAATGTACTGTAAAGTGAATTGACTGTATATTTATGGGCAAAACTCGGCAGCCAATTGCACACAGCAGTGACCCACAAACAGTCGTGGATTAAAGTGTCAAATTTATTATTTTTTTTCTTCCTGAGGGATTATTATCAGGCATGTGGAGTAAAGAAACTTGCCCAAGGTTTCGCCCCGCCGTGAATCAAACCCAAGTTTCTCACTTGTGAGACGAGTGCTCTAACCACTGAGCTACAGGACTCAAAATTTGTGGGGCACACCCTCCAAGGCCCCTTCCTGTCCCTGTCCATCCCCCCAACAATGAGCGCTTGGGCTCACAAAGCTGAAATCATGTCCATATCTCCAGATGTCACCAATGAGCCTGGTTTGCAGAATGCAGTGGAATACTCACTTGAGGTTACGTTCAGATCTTTTTCATCCTGTCCATAGCTGTTTTGGGCTGTGCACGATACTGTCATGTTCTCCAGGGGTTTGAAAGTAAGTTTGTGGACAGTTATATTCTTTGCTTTGTCTACTTGCTGTAAAGAAAACAATTATATTTTTTATTTATTCAGACTCCTGGAAGTCCACAGTGTTTTAAGAGTGGGTTACGAAACATCTCACAGCGAGAGGCTCACTACCTGGTGCTGTGGATTAGTAATACATAGGTTTACTATAGAATGATATAGGGCTTGATCCTACAACCTTCTTGTCTTCTGAAACAAGAACGCTACCAACTGAGCACTTTGAAAGACCAAAGATAGAAATTTTAGGTATTTTAGATAATAGATGGCTTTAATGAGGTAATGGTTATTATCATTACTGTTGATCAATACTGGATTTGGACAGATCACGATGCTGCTCACAATTGTGCCATTGACATTCCATTTGATGCTTGGCCTGGGAAATCCCTCCACAGCACAGGTTATCTGCTTTGAATCATCCAAGACCTTCTTTGTCAAGCGAATTATGTGTGGTTCTCCTGTAACAAAGACGAGATTCATTTCAAATCAATGGCAGTTAAAAGTAACATCGCGCTTCGAAAAATTAGCCAGAGCTCCTGATAGGTGTCCGCAAGCAATCCCATGCATTTTTCTGATTACAAGTGCACACAAGCTATCCTCCTTCAAATCTCCAATCATGGCAATCTTATATCTGTCCACACGTTCCATTCAATTAAGCCCCCGGATCCGAAATTCAATACTTTGCAATGACCCCTGCTGGAAAGTGTGTTCACTTCAATGTTTGGTGACAACATACTCAGCTCAGACTCATAAAAGCACCTCTACTGTTTTACCTTCCACTTGAAGCTCCATTGTTTGCTTTATCTTTACTCCCGGCAGCTCTCCTATTTTGGCTTGGCAGGTGTAAATGCCAGAATTCTTGAACTCTAGAGAATCCACTGTGTAGGGGAATAGGAATTCTATGTCCTTCTAAAAATAAAGAAAGGACCTGTTAGAAACATTCAGCTCTAAGAACAGGCTGCCTTCTCATCTCTGGAAGAAATAAACGTTGTGTAGTGAAGACCTGCAAGCAAGAAACCAGTATTACTGAATAATAGAAAAGAAAATATTATTCTTGGAATAAAGATGAGCTGAATTAATTTGCAAATATACATTTCTATAGGTCTCGGCATGGGTCTCACATCATCCTCCCGGACTCAAAGTTGTTAACACACTGACTTAATGGAAATATTACAGATAAAAATTGTGCAGGAAAAACATAACCACTGTGTAAACGCCATTGTTATTTCTAACAACAGAACCATACTACACTGGGCCCTCCCCCTGAAACGAACTTTCCACTTGAAAACAGTATTGTCAGTGTCCATGATTGCTCAGTGTGTTAATAATAATAATCCTTGCATTTGCTATAGTGCCTTATCACGTCTATGAGAAATCCCAAAGCGCTTCACATAATATACTGTAAAGTGTAAGGACTGCGTGTTTGTGGGTGAAATGCGGCTACCAATTACGCACAGAGTAGTGTCCCACAAACACGTGGATTGAGTGACCAAATTATTATGATTATTATTATTGTTATCATACACATACACACTAAAGGTTAAGCTTCCATATCAATAAAGTAAACCAGTCATCTTGAAGGGCAAGGCCATCACTACTGAAATGTGTGCAATCAATGTAGAAACCAACGGGCTACCTTCAGGGAAGCCTATTTCAGGACTTCACCTCTTTTAAGAATTGAACTTGACCATCAACTTCTTTGAGTAATGACAATATCTTTCTGGTTATCATATACAGCAGTAAATGTATTTAGGGTGGGGTGTGAGTGGCATCTAGGAACTTCTGACAATAATAATAATCATACTTGCGTTTGATGTAATGCCTATCAACATTGAAAAGTATGTCAAGGGTAATTGTTGTCAAGTGCAGTGACTGTATATTTATAGATAAATGGACAATCATTTCGCTCACAGCAAGAAAGATACACAAAAGGGTAGGAAGTTAATATCAATCATACTGGGAGATGGCCAGGACACCAGCAAAATAATAATAATGTCAGAAGATCTTCAAAATCGACCAAAGCAGGCAGGCAGGCGGCTTAAATTGTCATTCAGAGGACGGGGCCTCCACCAATGCCATGCCTGCTCCCCAGCACTGTACTGAAGGGTCAGCCTGGCCTATGAGCTCAGGTCCCCAAAACAAAACCTGGCCATTCACTTCATGACTGTTTGTGGAACATTGTTGCGCGCATCTTGTCTGCCGTTCGCGAGCCCACGAAATATACAATCACTCGACTTTACAGTACATCCTGCAAAATGCTTTGAGACATCCTCCCGATGCGAAAGGCATTATACTAAATGTTAGGATTATTATCATTGTTACTACTGTATTATTAGTATTATTATGTCTCAATGCGGGAGCTGAACTCACAAATTTCTGACTCAAAACTACCAACCGAGCCAAACTTACTTTCTTCAGGACGATGCTCACGGTTCCTGAAGCGTCAGCTTTACAGTTCACAGTTATGTTTTCTCCCAGCTTCTTCTTGATGAGTCCACTGGGGCTAATAGTCAAGTCCACGTCTGTGTAATGAGAAAAAAATGACAAGTTCTTTCTTTGAAAGTTGCCAATCTCGTTTCCCCCTTTGGTTTAGTTGCCAATGATTCCTGCCTAGAGTGAAACCCGTAAAGTCTCAGAGCTAGGTATGTGTGCGCGTGTATGTGTGTAAAGTTCCCATGTCTGTGGTTTGTTTGCAGCTCCACGGACAGCCAGCTAAAGCTCTGGGATGGCAATAAACCTCACTGCTTAAGATTGTTTCACCTGGTCTTAGCCCGTGTTTGTTTTAAAATGTAAGATTATGCAGATTTATGGAAAACTCTTAAATACAATCTTAATTTTGAAGCCTTTTTGCCCAGTTCTTAAAAATTGAATTGAAAAATTTTGAAATGGGAATTTAAGATTTTCTCACAATTCAATATGATCTTAAATTTTAAGACAATATAGCCTAAAGACGCAGACTGGGTGGAACTTCTGGTTTGATCTTCAATCTGAGTTGACTTAGCTGATCTCAAACACTCCCCTTTTGGACTACAAAGAATCAGTGAAAATGTTATATTTGGTTGTGGCTGTTCTGTTCAGGATGGTTTGATTTACGGATCTAATCAGATGAGCACATTTTCAGATCCCTGCTGCTAAATTCATGATATTACAAGAAAGATTCAGATGAAGAAGACTCTTTAGCCCATTTGATCTCATCCTTCCACCAGACCACCCTATAATACGATCCCTATTGAGGGACCAATCTTAAATTAGCCCAGCATTCAATTCTCAACCAGCCTTCCGAGTAACCCGTTGCAGTCACAGTTAACTTGTTTGTGAATAAAAGATAGAACCTATAATAATCCTCAGAGAGCAGATCTGCCTTCACCATAATAAAGCGCAAGTGGAGACATCGTCACTTACGGCAGCAATTTGCCAGAACACTTCAATCACCTTCGCCTGAAGAATATTCAACAATATGTAGGAAATGAATGACTTACAGTGAACGGTAATGTTTTTGGCATCCTTTAAGCTAGGATCACTGTTCATTGAGCACTCGTATTCCCCAGTGTCATTTCGATTCACTGAATTTAAAATTAATTCAGTCTTCCCGGAAGTTTGTAACTCCCCCTATGACAAAACACATGCCCAATCAATACATTTGTGACTATTACAAAGTGGTAAATGGGTGGAATCAACAGTCTATTCAAAGCATTACAAGTACATGTTCTGTATGGTAATGATGGAATGGGGTTGATGGAAGTTACAGAGAAATCTGCAGCTAAGACCATCCCAACCCCAGCTGAAGAAGGATATAGGACTGCAAGCATTTACTCAATGGGAACAAGCAGAAAGAAGAGGGAACTAAGCCGAAGACAAGTTGTACAAATGGAAAACAAACCAGATAAGTTTAACTTACATTTTTCTTGAAGGTGAACAGCTCTGGAACAGGGTATCCATCTCCTGAGCAGGACAGGGTAACTTTGTCCCCCTCTCTGATAGCTTTCTCTGGTGACACTTTTAGCATAATCTTCGAAGTGTTATCTGAGCAAACGATGGGAGAGGGGGAACTGGTGTTTACTCATTCAGATCCTAATATCCCCTGCACACTTCCCATCACACAGTACTTTGTATTCAATTTTGTTTCATGTCATTCAACATGTGGTGCTGTCATTATTCAGGGTCATACAAATGACAACGTGCATTTACATAGTGCCCTTCATGCGGCTAGTGTCTCGGAGCGCTGAACAATGGTGTAGTTTGACACCAAGTCGGGGAGAAAGGCGAGGTGAATGTAGATGGTCAAAGAGGAAAGTCTTCAGGTGCAATTTGAAGACGGGTAAAAAGGAGGCAAAGCAGAGGGATTGATACTGGCAGGGAAGAGCAGTGACCTTTTGCAGGATGAGGCAAGCCAGAATAATTGGGGATTGCATCTGTTAGACAATGAGGTCTGTCATATGATCATTTAAAATTTACACCTTAATGCTAGAGGTAGCTCACCCTCTTCCCCCCCTCCCCCCCACCCACACCACACACACACACACACACACATGCGTTAATTCCAATGCCAGTGAAGGCAGATCTTGCAGTGGACTTCCATTTCATCACAGCATTCCCTTGTCAGTTAGCATCTTACTCTCAGTCGTTTGTTGAGAAAAAAGCCACCTCTATCCTGCTGTGTTCACTGACAAATACACAAGTCACCGCACTTCATTAGAAACTTCATGAAGTGCTTTTAGTTGTTAGAGGCGCACTACTAATGGCAAGGAATTAGTATTACTATCACTCCTAGGTGTTGCAATAAAGACTATAGAAACTCCTTCCAAAAAAATACCACATGTGACATACAATAACTTCAGCCTTCATGGAAACGTGCTTCTAATTGAAAAGGTGTTCCAGAATTGCTGCTGAACAAGATCTGTGTTTTTTACACAGAGCCTTGGTTTGGTTCAAATAAAAGCTAACGGACGACAGCGAAATGATTATGGATGACATCGGATTATTTCGCCCAGAAAATATACAGTCAATTCACTTTACAGTGTATCCTGTCAAGCGCTTTGAGACGTCCTAAAGACGTGATAGGGCGTTAAATCTAATGAAACGATTGTTATTGTGACTGAGAAGTGAAATAATCAGCTTTAACTGAGTGTGTTTGTGTGTGTGTGTGTGTGTGTGGAGCCCTCGATTGCAGTATTTCTTGTACAAGTTAATAACTAGCTTGCTCCCAGTCACCGACCAGAATGGTGTTGCTTCTTTCAGCACCGTTCTGTCAGGGGCCAGTGCGCCAATCAATTTAAAGCTCCATTGCACAAGTGAATCCTGTGAATGAGCACTGACAATGACAGTGATCACTGGTGGTCAGTCACAAGTGGCTATTCCCCCATCACTTTTTTATGCCGTGCCAACAGGAGATGAAGGAGATTTTAACTTCCTGAGGAATAAGTAATGTAGCTGGGAAGTTGCAATCTGTACTCGCACCCCTTTTCTACTGTTCTACTATACATGTGATTTAGAAGTACTCTACCCCAGGACATTAAGATTAAAAGAACTGAACGGGTCACTGACATGCCTCCGCTGGGCAATGATGCAGCAGCAACAGAGCTTGCGCTGTCTGCAAACGCTGTTATCGTAATGTGCTCATTTAAAACATCACTTGATCAGTCACGTTGCAGCTGTTTATTGGACATTGCAGTGTGCAAATTGTCTGCAGGGACAAGCACACAGTATTTATATATGCAAAACTCCGATATATACACAATATATACCCAAATACTCTGCACTTAATAATAATAATACTTGCATTTGATATAGCGCTTTTAAGACGTCTTCTAGACGTCTTAAAGCGCTTCACAGAATATATTGTAAAGTGAATTGACAGTATATTTGTAGGCGAAATGCGCCAGCCAATTGCGCACAGCAGTGTCCCACAAAAAGTCATGGATTGAAAATGACCAATTTATTATTTTTTTTAGGGATTATTATCAGGCGTCTGGAGCAAGAAAACTTGCCCGAGGTGTCACTCTGCCAGGAATCTGGGTTTCACAGAAACTTCACAGAACTTCTGATTGCAAAATGTTGTCACTATGATGATCCCGGTTAACATTTACGGTACAGCTCTATCCTGAACAAGCCAGGAATGCCACAGCGTGCAGATCATACTGTCACATCTCTTGTACAATGCCCTGTCCACATGTCATATAGCCGAGGCATGAATTGTGATCCCTACTTACAGTGTATCTTGACATGTGCTGTTTTAGACACTTTCTTTGCTTTCTTGGTTGGGCTCTCAAAATAATGCACTATACATTTAAATGAAATCTCTTGCTCATCTCTTTTTGACAAGTACTTCAGAGTCGAGTCTGTTATAAAATAACCATTCTGATCGTTTGCATTCTGCTGATCGATAGCCACGGCTGGAAAGCAAAAGGAAGAAGGTTTGTAAATCCTGTCAATTTTCAAATTGGATATTAGGGCAATTTTGCAGTATTCCTTAAACTATTCTTGAGTTAGTTAACACATTGCCATTCATTATGTTAGTTAACACATCCCATTCACTTTTTAAGGTTTTATATAAGTGTAAATTGTATTTATTATTTACTGATCCCTTTCCGAACCTTGCAATTTAATAATTCTTGAGTAATTTAAGAAATGGACTTAAAAAATAGTTATCTAGGCATCGTTCGCGGTATATTCATCTATCCTACAAGCATTCAACTTTGCTAGGAATGGCAAACTCTGTCAGTACACAGACATTGGTTTGAAACTCTATTATCTTACCTGGATCATCAATTTTGATGTTCTCGTTGTTCATCTGCCAAGTAATGTTAGCTTGCGGAAAGCTGCCATTCACAGTGCACGTACCAACCTTAAGTGAAAGGGTACGGTTAGAAAAAAATTAAACATCCCAATGTTCTTGGGCTACGAAGGACATTGATAGGTTTCTGTTTCATGTTATTGCTAGGCATCAGTCTCTGTTAAAAAGACATTGTAAAAATGTTGATGTCATACCCTTCGGGGTTAAGTGCCTGCACCAATATTCCATTCTAATACTGTACACTATTCAGGATAGCTTGATGTAAAAAAAAACACTTAGTCCAATTTTGCCTTCCAGTTTTACTGTCCTGTTTTAAAGCTTTGTCTATTCCCCCAATTATTGATTTTACGTTTCATCTGTTCTGCCTATCTTAAGGTATTTCCCTTCATTTTGACTCTTAACTCTAAAAGCTTTAACATGTGAGCACATGGTAAGCACTGCACGATTAGTTCTCCATCCATTCATCTGTGCGGTACATATAACGATGCTTTTCACTTTCAGGTACCAATCAAGTAGGTGTTTTATTTTGTCATCTGGAATCTGCTAATGCGGAAACCCATGCCTAGCAGTATCCAAATAAGATTGACAGTTCCATGTATTCATTGCACCTACTCATGGAAATTTCCTTTGTCTATGGTGGAACGCAAACTCCCTGCCCAAAGAGACGCACCCTCCTTCCTTAACAAAACAATATCATACAAAATTACATTTGCATTACATTATAACCCCAGCAAGTTGGCAAGAGTCAAGTCTTGGGGGCCCCAGAGCATGATTTGAGGTTGACCAACAAAATGCATAACAGTGCCCTGGAGTACTGAGAACCTGCCTGGCTCAGGCACCGGACAACCAAGATCTTTAAAAAGGTTTGATTCGATTCTGATAATCCAGTTCAGCCCCAAGATCCTATTAATTGTTAGAGCCACAAATCTCCCTTGGAAGTGCAAATGCCTCTTTAGGATCGCCACTAGCCCAACACCTCAAAGACCTCCCTCTAGTGGGTCAGATTTGAATGATCGGCTCGATGGGAATGTTGAACATTGCGGGAACTATCAAACGGCTTGCGTTCGTGCTATTCAGAGAGAACCAACCTGTTGCATTTTCCCTTCATTGAGGAAAGACATTGTCTGTGTCAAATGAACAGCAGATGGTATTTCTGCAGAGGAAAGTAAACGCAAGAAAAAACGGTTAAGTAACAACTGATGGAGAAAGGAAACATTTTAAATTTAATTTTACTCTATCCTTTTTGCTTCCTTTCCACTTTTCAAGCTGTCCTTTATTCAGCTCAGAACTCTGGACAGTCTAGTCTAATGGCAATAATAATAATAATCCTTGCATTTGACATAGCGCCTTATCACGTCTTGAGATGTCTCAAAGCGCTTCACAGAATATACTGTAAAGTGAATTGACTGTTTATTTTGTGGGCGAAATGTGGCAGCCAATTTCGCACAGTAGTGTCCCACAAACAGTCGTGGATTGAGTGACCAAATTATTAATTTTTTTTGAAGGGTTATTACCCCCAGAAAAGTGATCCGACAATCGACTAATAATCGGGTTCCTACTTACTGCTAAGCGGTAAACAGAAACGTGTGGAGTAAGGAAACTTGCCCAACATTTCGTTCTACTCGGGAATCAAACCCAGACCCTCTCGCTTGTGAGGCGAGTGCTCTAACCACTGAGCTACAGGAATCCATGCAATGGGACTCCATATTAGATTCTATCCCACAGTCAATTTTTACTATTCTGCTAGAACGCTATTTACACTGTATGGCTTTGTCCACCTATGCTGCTATTTTTAAAGTCCTGTAAATCTGAATCCATAGATCCTTTTGTTCCTGTACCACTCTTAGGGATATAGGGTATAACTTTACATTTCTCTATGTTGCATTTCTTCTGCCACCTCTCTGCCCATCCTACAAGTCTATTTATGTCTTCCTGCATCTATTTTGCAATCGATTATTCAAATAAATTAACAACTCTGGGAAGGGTTCCTTCACAATAATAAAAAATCACCAGATATCTTTGATTACTTACTGAAGACTCTGACAGTGACCGGATTCTCCTCCAAAACGATTCCATATAATACAAAACAGTTGAATTTCCTTTCGTCTTTGATACTAATATCGGAGATAGTTAAGGAATAGTTCTTAGACATAACTATCCTTCCCTCGTATTCAGTAACATTTACGTTTGTAGTAATGCCCGTGAGCACATTAATTCCAGCAAGAGTCTCAAGTTTACCAATTTCCTGAAAAAATGGAAAAAAGGCATATTTTAAAGAGGAAGCTCTGAAGGACAGTGATTTCATTCAGTTCTGGCAAATCTTGTCTCCATTCCTGAAGGGACATGACTTTGTGATAAAATTCCATAGCTACAAATAGTCCTCTCGTATCCATTCCATATGTGTCTCCCTCAACAGCGATCCTGAAAGTGGGGGGGGAGGTAGATTTGTGTGTGAATGACAATACTGGTGGGAAAAATGTCCCCCCTCCACGCTCCCCCTGCTAAGGTCCAGATGTGCTCAAGGCAATTGCAGCATCCAAACTATTACATTACAGTACAATACAAAATTACATTTGTATAGCGCCGTTCACGTCGGGAGGAGGTCCCAAGGCGATGGGACAGTCACGGATCTATTGGGATCTTCTGAGGAAAGAATGAGTGCAACTTTCTGGTCTGTGGAGTCTATTCTTTTTACACAGACTAAGCTACCAAGAAAGTGAATGTGTCTTTCTTTATCGCTCCACCACCATTTGTGCTTTGTGCTTTGTCCTCCCGACCTGAAAGGCGCTATACAGATGTAATCTTGTTGTTGTTGATATCTTTTCAGTATTCCTTGTTAGAAGCTGCAAACTGCAACGGAAACACTCACCGCCTTTCTAAGTGAGGGACGCGTGCTTAGCAACGGAATGCATAAATCAAGTCAACCGTTGTTCCTCGTCGCAAGTCACTCGGTTATTATATCACATTGCACATCGCCACATTGCAAACGTTCAAAACAAACAGAGAAAAAAGCAAGAGAGCTCCGGTGAACTGAACATTCTCTAAAACGGCAATGGAGTCATCCTTACAGGTGCGACAGCAATGTCATAGAAACAAGTGGGTCGCTCACCGTGTTCCATCCAACTACTGTCGGATTAGCATGTAATCGCACAGGGCAGTCAAGTGTTATGGTATCTCCAACATGGGCTGTCACGGTGACCCCCTCCAACGCTGAAAATAATAGGGGATAAAATGCAATGAATTATTCAACATCAGAACATTAGCTTTTCCAGGTTTTCAGATTTAATGGGGGGGTGGGGGAAGAGGGGAGATAAATAAAGGAAGAAAGAGAAATAATTACATTTGATATTGTGCTTTGCACATCAAAATTTCTCAAAGCACTTCACAGTTCGCAGTTCTCTGTAAAGTGCAACGACTGAGTATTCTTAGGCAAATATATCTATTCATCACTGCAGGGATCATCAATTCACTGCCTTCTCCAGGAACAACGTTTTCTTGCACAGTCGAACCTTGGTATTTCGATTCTTAAGCAATTGTTTTTAAAAAGAAAGCAAATCATCTGCCAAATACATACGTAGGCGACACAGTGAGTAGGTGCAGTTTCTTTGATTCAAGTGAAGTGCTCGGTTGGGTAACGTAATCTCCATGTGCTTATTTGTGAAAATAGACCATAAATTGGCACTTTTGGCACATAAATTAGCAGTTTTGTGGGTGATCAGTTATACAGCTCATGTGCATCTGTTTCAAAAAGGTGTGAAAATATACCTGGAATAAATTTAAAACACTACAAATATATACAGGAAACTGTTTAAGATCAATCCCAATTCATCACCAAATACCATGCCAGTCTATTTAGGTGGGATATTATACAATCATTTTATCTTACAGTAGCATATTTCCACCACTGGATGCTGCTGTGCTACTGGCCTTGGATTTCTGCAAAGTCCAAAGACATGTTAAATCTGAAGTAAACTGAGACTTCTTGGCAGTTTTCTAGCATTTTTGAGAACTGTAGAATATTTGAGAACTGTAATTTCACACTATATTCTTTAGTGTTCAAGTCTTTGATGCAAAATATTGGGAGAGAAATGGGTGCAAATTTAGTTGTTGCAATCACATCCCTGATAAACTGGCATGTGGAAAGGCTGCCAAGATTACATATATCGCAGTTTTTTTCCAAATTGAGCACTTTGCAACCTAAATTCTTTCTTCGACAGAAAACACATTTCTGTGTTTGAATGGCCATGGGTTTTGCATTGTCTGGCTTCTCTTTTTTGAAGTCTTAAATCTTCTCAAGTCTGTACTGTGGTGAAATATATTTCACTCCCTGTTGTGAAAAGTAATCTGCTTGTTGCTGCAAAGTAGAACTCATGGTTTTGTACAGAATATAATGTGACCAAGGACTGTTCAAATTGTATGCAGTTGTGAGCTTGGTGCACTGTTATTTTGACGAACATGTGCAATATATGTGATAAAGAAATAAAATGCTGAAAACATGCTGAAATGTCAATTTGGGATGTAAAATAGGGAGAAGCGTGGTGTAGATATTAAGATTAGAGGAAACAACATTGTCAATTTCATATCTGTCATGTATCCTGAGTTCAAGAAAACAACTGGGGCGTGAAAGCTCGGACATGCAGGAGACCACAAAGTTGCTTGTGCCCAGATCAAAGAAGCAGACTTCCTACTTGAGGTTCAGAGGTTCAAGCAAGAAGAGAAGCCACCTACGGGATCTTTCAGACTGAAAAATTCAACACTTCCTACCAGCGCTCTCCAACTACAATAGATTCAACACCTGCTAGCAGTGCTCTCAAACCAAACAAATCCTTGTCTGCTTCCCTATGAACTTTGATATTGTCACCACGGTGACATACTCTTAAGTATAATATTGCCTATTGTGTTAACGTGAAACTATATATGCTTGACTATGTATACATAAGTCTTATTATCCACAATCAGTCTATAACTCAGTAATAAACCAGTTATTAAGCATAGAAGACAAGTGTTTTCAGTTCCTCTGCTCCTGGGTTCTCAATCCCATAATTTGGCTCCGCAGAATAACTAGTTCTATTCTGGCCGCACCTCCGTGACAGGCGTCAGAGAGAGGTTAGTTCAATTCTAAGGATAATTATCCTTGCACTTGATACAGTGCCTCATTACATCTTTGAGATGTCTCAAATCGCTTCACAAAACATGCTGTAAAGTGAATTGACTGTATATTTTGTGGGCGATATACAACAGCCAATTGCGCACAGCAGTGTCCCACAAACAGTTATGCATTGAAGTGACCAATTTATTATTTTTTTTAAGGAATTATTACCCCAGAAAAGCAATCCGCCAAACGACTAACAACTGGGTTCCTACTTACTGCTAGGTAAATCGAGGCGTGTGGAATAAGGAAACTTGCCCTACATTTTGCCCTGCCGGGAATCAAACCCAAGTCCTGTAAAGGGAATTGACATTATATTTCATGGGTGAAACAGGCCAGCCAGTTGCGTCCTGCAGTGTACCACAAACAGTCGTAGATGAAGTGACCAAATTAATATTATTTTTTTTTGTGAGGCGAGTGCTCTAACCAACTGAGCTACAGGACTCCACTCTGGCCGACACCCAGGCTTCACAGAGTGGTTAGTTCCATTCTGACCGTTCCTATATTTCCAACAGTACTGAGTTAGCTAATCTGAGCCTGGACAGGAGTTGAGATGCTACAATTGGCCTGGGTTGAGGGGGAAGTGGGTAGAAATCTGCCAGGGTTCCCACTCTTGAGCAAGACTCGAACATGAATAATGGCTTTTCGGACAAGGACAGTAACAAATTAGCGCAGAGGAAAAAAGAATAAAAACATCTTATGCTGTGCAAAACAGAGAAGAAAATAGAACAAAAATGTTGGCAAAAAAATGAAATCATAATTTTAATGGTGCAATTGAAAAGATAAATAACAAGGTGGGACTGGCTTTTACAAGCTGCTATCTCGTGCACTGGGCAAGTAAGCCTGCTGCAGACAACAGTGTCTGCCTTTTTTTTTATAAATGTGTATCTTGTCATTCTTCTCAAACTAAGATTACTGGGGGAAAAAACTGCAATTACATTTTTTTTCATTAAAGAGATAGAGTATTAGGTTTCAGAGTCTGTCGTCCTCACTGTTAATGATTCATACAGAAAATCTCCATCTGGTCTAACCTAGCTCTCTGTAAATTGCAAGGTGGGGGCAATATTCTCCTGTAATTCATCTTCAATATGTGAAAAATCCGAAATAATTGGGTGTGTCGGTGTTGTGACTTTGTTAGCTCCTGTTTCATCTTTGTATTCATCCTGGGCTGTCTCATTGAGTTACATTGCCAAGACTCAAAGCAACCCATCTAATTTGTTTGTATTCGCTGTATCTCTGATGATTAAATGTCAGTCTGTAGAAGGGATTCTCAACTTTGTTATGCACTGATTGTACAATGTATTTCCTCCTAACTGATGCTCTTGCCTTCAGACAATTTTGGGCGAAACTAGATTGCCTGGTTAATCTGCATATAAATCAGAATATTTAAAATGTAATACTGTAGCTTGGTTTTTTAAAAAATTGAATTACCAGTTTACTTTCAGGAAAATCTTATCTCTCCGATGAATATTTAAGGACTGCACTCTAATATAAAATAGGAGTTGACATCTGAGTATGCTTTTAGAACTGAGCAACATCAGAACTACCCCACAGAAACACAGCTCTGTTATGGACATTGTTTAAACTATGTTTCATGTTAATAATCCGTTTTTATCGGAATAATTCCTTGGTGCCAACTGAATCTCACAGTGTACCCACTCATCTCCACCTCCCCCCAGGTTATATTCTAGACAGGTACTTATTTTTATTCCTTTGGAAAGGGTAAAGGCCTCAGTGGGTTTACACACTCAAGTCCAAAAGGTTTTTTTAAATTTCCCCCCAAATAAAATAATAGTAAATAATAAAAAAAAGTTGGTCACTCAATCCATGACTGTTTGTGGGGCACTACTGTGGGCAATTTGCTGCTGCATTTCACCCACAAAATACACACTTTACAGTATATCCTATGAAGCGTTTTGAGACGTCTCAACGACGTGCTAAGGCGCTATATCAAATGCAAGGATTATTATTATTAAATGAAAGGAAACAAAAGTTTGGGGGCTCCTTTAAATCCGAGGAATTAAGTATTTAAAATGTGGGCAGTACCTGCTTGTAATTGCTTTGTTCGTATCACCTCCTGATCTAAGTTTGTTCTGGAACAATGGTGAGGAAAAGAGATTGGTATTTTGTTCCATGTGAAAGGTTACATACTCAGCAGTGAATGTGAGAAAAATATCCCCACAGACTCTCGATTGTACAGCACTTCCTTTGGTTCAAGCCAATCATATTAATCTCCTAATCGTTTCTACAGCAACAGAACATGGCTCTCACAGCACATGCCATGAAACACATGGGCTATTTTAGCTTAATAACTTTTAGGCTTGTTGGGAGGGAGGGAGGGAGGATGTTTTTTTAAAGCGTGGGATTTTGTAACTGTTTTTATCACCCTGGTTGTGCCAATTTCTGTTACGGTAGATTAAAGCATGTTACACTATGTGCTGTGATAATAAGTATCACTTATTCATTTTCACTCCTTGCATTAAACAATTTAAAAATGAAGACCAACAGTACTCCTACAACAGTTCCCAGAAATAGGTTGTTTTGAAGTAAATGGGATGGCTCGCAGTATTGATAATATTGTGCAGTTTTGATAACATTTCGTATTTTTTTAAAAAATACTTCAATATTTCTCCTCTCTGCCTAGGAGAGTCCTTATGGCTGGAGCTCTTACAAAGCTCTGAAGCTGGATGCTGTGTGAAGGGCACTATATGAATGCAAGTTGTTGTGGATACTTTTCTTGTCAATTATTTTCCTTTCTCTTCTGCTCTTCTATTTTCCCAAAGCTGTACAAACCTCAAATCTGTTGGCTTCCATCCACACAACACAAAATTACATTTGTATAAGTGCCTTTCATGTCAGAAGATGTGCAATGCTAGGACAGTCACGTCCCAGTCATGCTAGGACGGTGGTGGGTGGGTGGGGCGTTGTTACCAGGGAAGGTGGAGGGTAGGAAGGTGGCCGAGGGCACGGTCAAAGAGGAGGAACGTGAAATGTTCCTTGAGACGATTCATAACCAGACACCTCATCGCTTTGCCTTGACCATCTCCCATCGCTCCATCCC